TAACGGCTTTTTTCTCGAAGCGAGTTAGATTGGATCCGACAAACTTGATAAGATTAATGGGTTGGCCCGAGAAGTTGCCCTTGCACAAGCTCAAAAATTGCTGATTTTTATGAAAATATTGAGATTAATTGATATTAGACAAAAAAAAATGTCTCGTATCGAAAAATCGCTCAGTAAATTTATGAAAAATCTTGAGTTTATTAAGCAAGTTAGCTTAAAAGCAACTAATACTAAAAAAAATCAGCGTTAAAGATACTTCAGTCAAACAAAATGAGAATGAATATTTTTCAGTCTGCTTTGAAAAAAAGCAAAAAGAAAGAATAAAAAAATTTATGAAAAAAATGGGTATATGTCAAAAAGAGCTGCGAAAAATCGAGCCTCCTCACTGTTTGAGATAAAACTGCCAGCGAAAAAAATGGGCTGCCGAAGAAATTGCAAGGGAAAAAAACAGCTGAGAGAAACGAGCTGCGAAAAATTTTGCCCCCGTTGGCAGGGTTAATCGCGCAACTGTGCGCTCCACCGACAGCAGCAGCAAAATTTTTTTGAAAAGTCGTTCATTTCGACGCTTTATTATGAAATCAAGTTATTTTTTTCTTTTTTTTCATATTTAATGGTTTTAAATTACATTGTTGAATCATTGAGAGTAAGTTTTGAAACGTCTGAAAAAAAGGGCAAGACAAAAATTCAGAAGTGAGAAAAAAATGATAGCTAAGATACATAATTCTTTCCAGATTTTGCGTTTAATGATCAATTAAAAAAATTTTTAATTGCGCGTTGCATATTGAAAAATGATGAACATAACAAAAATATCCGTTTATTAAAAAAACCTAAAAAAAGAACAAAATGTGAGCATGACAGGGTTTTTCCGATGAAAAATTGTCTTCATCTCTCGTGAAGTTGCGGAACCAATACTCGAACTTCTCCCTTTCGCAAGATTTCAATCCACTCTGATTGCTTTTTTAAGCGTCCTGAAACATTTTTTTTTCATTATTAAAATGTTTTTCAGACTCTTATAGACTGACTTCGCCCGATTTCATTCGAAGCGGAAATTAAATAAAACTTTTCTGCACGAAATCACAACAAAATGAAAAAGAAAATGGATGAAAACAAATAAGAAATAACAAAAAAATAATGAAAAAAATTTTTCCGAAAAATTCAAAAATCTGTCATCGGCGCGTTATCGGTGGGGCGCAATATGTAGTCAACTATTTTGCCAACGGTGGGCAAAATTTTCGCAGCTCGCTTTTCGCTGGCAATTTTATCGCTGGCTGTTTTTTCATCAGCTCATTTTTCTCAGCTCGATTTTCACAGCTCTTTTGACATATACCCGAAAAAATATTAATACGACTTCAATGAAAAACAAATTCAATTCTTCTCCAAAACACCGCACTTAGGTACTTTCTGAACCATCCCCGTCGCTTAAAAAACCACAGAAAAATGAAAAAAAAAAGATTTGGAAAGAAAATAATGAAAAAAAGAACAAAATGCAAGTAAAAAAAACTTTTCGAAAATTTTTTGGTTGGTCCAACGTGTATGCACTAGAAACTTTTTCTCACGACTCTTTTTGAAAATTTCTTCCTTTTACCGGTGAATTACAGCTCTGAGAATTTCTTTGAAAAGTCCCTTTTTTCAAAACAAGTCATTTAAAATTCAGAGAACTGGAAAAGGGGAGAAAAGGCGGAGACTTGGTGAAAGGCCAAGGCACCGGGGCGTGAAGAAGACCCGCCGTGGCTGGAATGAGTTATCGGCCTCATCCTGGCCGGCTTTTACCGGAAACTAACGTACTTCACCTATGGAAGGGATATGACTAAGCTTCAGTCATACATTTCTGAGATCGTAAAGAGAAAATAAAGCTTTCTCATACTAAAAAAAAATTGATTTCTGTGACTAAATGCCTTTTTTCTGAATTTCTTCTTCTTCGATGAAATTTTTTGAATTCAAAAGAGGGCTTCAATTCAAAATTAAAACTTCAAGTTTCAGGTGGAACCTACAGTAAAAAATAATTTCGTGACGGAAATCCTAAATGGATTATCGCTATGTGCCTTTAAAAATCAACAATGACTGAGGCTTCCGAAGCTGCAGCATAATGGGAAGAGCTCGAGGAAAAGCAGAAAATATTTTAGATAAATTTTAAATTTTCCCGAAGCAAGAAAAAAAAAATCCATCGGCATTTTTCGGACTCTTCAGGTTTTCGTGACCCATTCGTAACGATACTCTAAACCGGTTAGAAGAAGATATGTACCTTTAAGTTGAAAACATCTTTTGAGGGCTCAGAAACCGCAAAAGGACGAAAAGGGTCTTTCGTGACGAAATATCGAAATTAATTCTCACTATGCGCCTTTAAAAATCGGACTGTCATCTCTCCGTCCAAGAGACAAAACTGAATAAAACTACACACAGCCCCGAAAAAGAAGTCTTCCATCCATCATCGGCATTGTTTCGACCCCTCAGGCTGTTGTGTCGTGTTTTGGCAGTTTGACCCGTTTTTTTTTGTTCACGCGCTTCTTCTTCTCGCCTCGTGGGGATTTCCGGCCACGACGCAAATTTTTGTCGGCGTCAAAATCATCGCCACAACGTCCGGAAAAAGCAAGCCCCTCGGGCGGCTTGGTTTTTGAGTACTAAGAATAAACTCGTTGAGGAAAAAGTTGACGCGCGTGGGTTAGTTGGAGGGATGAAAAATGAAGGAATATTGAAAAAAAAAATAAATTTTGATTTTTTTACAAAGAAAAAGTTGAAAAGAATTGGCAAAATTGAGCTTTACACTGGTTGAAAAAAGTTAACCTTGTTGAGAAGAACTAAAGGTACAAAAAATCGGCAAAATGAAGCCAAACCCAGTTTTTGGGGCTTTCATCGCTAAGAAAATGTGAAAATCCGATTAAAAAAAAGATCAATGGATGAAACCGCTTCAAAAAAGTTTTGAAGAAAAATCGGACTTCCAGGTTGATAAAGAAAATTCGAGATCATCAAAAAATTTTCGAAAAGATTGTTCAACTGATCTCGAAGCACAATTCCCTCCCTAGAGCTTTTGGGAAAAAACGGAAATCTCGAAAATATGTATTCTAATGAAAACTTTCTACATGAAAAAAAATGATCGCATTTATTATTTATTTTTTTATTTATTTTCACTCAAACTTCCCTCGCTGGTCTTCGAAAATTAGGCTTTTAACAGAGTTTTCAAGTTATTATTTGTTTGGAATCTAACGGTTCAACCCAACTTTTAAAGCTAAGATGAGCAAAAATTAGAAAAAAGAAAGCTTAAAAGCTCACCTAATCTCTTTTCCGACGCTAAGTCAGGCTATTTTATACCGATTACGAAATTCTAGTTCAAAAATCAACTTTTGCACTGCACTTCTCGTGTGGCGGAGCAAGATCCAGTAAAGCTCAGTTGGTTAAGTCCTTGCACAACGCTCAAAACGTCCCAAGTTCGATCCCTCTCGACAAATGCAACATTTTTGCATTCAGATAAAAGAAAAAAATTTCAAGGAAAGGAAGTTTGAAATGAAGTCTGAAGTCTCCACGGAACGTGACCTCGCCGGTCACGCCTTCCCGATTTCTGTTGAGAAGCGAGATGAGCGATGACTCCGCTTCGAAACAAGAGGTCGGAAGCTTTTTGGGTTTCCAAAAACCAGAAGAAAAAAAATGGAGTCCGTCGGGTCATATTTGGCTTTGGGAATGGGCTGAGAAGAGCATTTCGGGGTGCAGTTTGTTTGAAGTTTGATTGAAGGAATGTAGCGTTTTCGGAGCAAGGAGTCTTCACAGAAAGTTGGTGAGGATGGGAAGAAAATATGGTTAAAAATACGTTTTGAAGCAATAAAACTTTAAAAGTCAAGTTTGAAGGCTTTTTATCAGCTTTTAAAGCAAAAAAATGAGTTGAAAGGTCTAAACTTGTCTGGCGAAAGCTCAGGAAGCTACAGCAAGGCTAAGGATTTCAAATAAGATGTGAATCGCCTTCTTTATCCGTTGACACGTCCGCAACTTCTCGTGCACGGTTACAGTAAGCAGTTGTCTGTACACCGATCCAAAGCATATTTCAAATTTGAATGGCGGGAAAATAAAATCACTGTTTTCTTCAAAAGTACTCATATCTGTGCTTTTTTGGGTAGACCGTTCGATTCGCAATGAAAAGCTCTAAAAGATACTTCCTTCCCCTCGTTTAACTGCCCCTATGCCTTTAAAAGACAATTAATGGATTCAGATGAGAAAAACGCTTCAGAACAAGATTAAATTCTTTGAAATCCTCCAAAAAAACGAAAATTAAGCTGCTCACGGTTGATTCATTCAAATAATAACGAGATTTTGAATTTTCTCCAAAGTTTATTTCAAAATTCCACCTCTAGCCAAGCCTACGAAACCCCTGAAAAATTAATTTTTGTTCGAAGAAATACCTTGAAATTTCTCCACAAAAAAGAAAGAATTGGAAATGAATCAAAGAAAAAAGAACACGAGAACTCGAGTTTGCAAGAATCCCAGCAGAATACGAGGAAGGAAGCAAGGGAAGGTCCGTTTTGATGAGGTGCCGAACTCCCGACGGACAGCTTTCACCCCTCCAAAAGCTTTGATTTTTGCTTCTTCTCCTTCTTTTCAACTTTCAACCTTCATCTCTTCCGCCAAAGCCAAGTTTTCCGTCGCCAATCACATTACATAGCCGATTTGCGCCATTTGAACGATGCTAATCAGACGCGCCCTTGGCCATTTAAAAGCATACAAATCATTTCTTCTTTTTGTAACTTCCGATTGAAAGAAACAGGTACATGACTGTTAACCTTGTAGGTAAGACAACAAAGGTATTCTTTCAACAAAGCGACATTAATCGCTGGCAGGCGGAAGAGGAAGGCCGAATAAGGAGAGGAAGCTGGCAAAAAACAAAAGTGAAAGCCGCGCGGAATACTTGCCGACCGCGTTTTTTCACAGGTTTGCCGTCGTACAACGGTAAAAACCACACCTCGCTGCCAATATAAAAGGAAGGCGATGCCTTTGGAAAACCAAAAGACGAAGAAGCAATGAGCGTCAAGTTTCTGGTAACGGCGGCCAGCATCGGCAGCGGATTGGCCATCGTCGGCTGTCTTTTCGCCGTCGGATTCCTCTTCAACGACATCAACCAGCTCTACGACAACGTCATGGACGACATGCAGGAGTTCAGAGTGAGTCCTCTTGAGCAGTCATTCAAGAATTATCCCTTTCTAGGACGTCGCCAACAACGCCTGGCACGACATGATCCCCGTCACGAGACCGGCCATCAACGTCCACGCTCGCGAGCAAATCTTCGGTCGCAGCAAACGCCAAGCCGGACAGTGCAACTGCGGAGCTCAGCCCAACAACTGCCCGGCTGGACCGGCAGGACCTCCAGGACAGCCTGGAGCCCCAGGAGAAGACGGACATCCGGGAGAGGCCGGCAAGGCCGGAATCGCTGGAGTCGCCATCACCAGCTCTGAGGGAGGAAGCGGCTGCATCAAGTGCCCGGCCGGAGAGCCTGGACCAGCTGGACCCGACGGACAACCAGGAGCTCCAGGACCTGACGGACAGCCAGGAGCCCCAGGAAACGCCGGCCAAGACGGACCCGCCGGACCAGCAGGACCCGCCGGAGACGCCGGTGCTCCAGGACAAAACGGAGCTGATGGACAGCCAGGAGCGCCTGGAAAGGACGGTCAACGCGGCAGCGGAGCTCCAGGACCAGCCGGACCAGCTGGACCAGCAGGACCTGCCGGACAGCCAGGAGCCAAGGGACAAGACGCGGCTCCAGGACAACAAGGACCAGCCGGACCAGCTGGAGCTCCAGGAGGCCCAGGAAACGCCGGTTCCGACGGACAGCCAGGAAGCGCCGGAGCTGCCGGTCAGCCAGGAGGTGATGCTGGTGAGTCAAACTTGTGATATTTCGGAAGATGATTGATCATTTTTCAGCCTACTGCCCATGCCCAGCTCGCTCTGCAGCCGTTGAGAGCGGAAAGCAATCCAGCGGATACAGACGCCGCTTCTCCAAGGTCGCTTAAGTGGCTCCTTCGAGAAAACAAGACAATGAAGATTTTTGAACTCTCTGCCTGTGTACTTTAAAAGGAATCGACAAAAAAATCACAAGAAAATGAACAAAATATGGAATCATTTTCATAATTATGAACACTACAAACGTATCAATATTCCAAACTATTCCCGGTCTGATAAGAAGAAAATTTTTCAAAAATATTGAAAAAATAAAATTTTATTAGCCGCCGGTCGAGAAGCTTTCTAAAAAACGATGTTGATGAATTTCCCTCAGCCATGCAACTTTGAAAATTAATGAGCTCATCCAAAATAAATTCGCCAATATTCAAGAAAGCCCGAATAAATACGGAACAGGGTCTTTTGGCAGAAATTTCAGGGTTTGAACGGGAAAAAAATTGGCATGCTTTATAAAGTATGGGCGTTTATAAATTTTGACCGCTTTTTTGTGCTTTACTGCAAAATCTCGAACGCTGAGCAGGGTAACCCAGCCGTGCTAAAACGGGCTCTCAGCGGGTGCCTCCGTTTTAAACCCGTATAAGCACAGTTGGTAGAACTTTTGGCAATTTTTAGCCCAACTGAGACCCCGCTTTAGCCCAGCTGGGTTACATATTTTTCTTACACTCGTTGTTCCCCCGTTTTAGCCCACTTAAATAACCTCAGAAACACGGGTTGAATACGGGTACACCCGTTTAGACATCTGCTCAGCATGCGAGAATAATAAAATACGGGCGTTTCAAAATCTTATCACTTTCCCTTTTTCTATATATATTTCAAACTTTGTATTCGGTTGTTCAGAAAGTTATTGCGGTTTTTATTATTAGACTTCAAATGATCCTAACTTCGCTTAGAGTTTTTTTATTTCTGATCAAAAACTAAAAACCATCTCATCTTATTAAGTGACCATGTGACAACAAAAAACACAAAAAATTCAGTCGATGATATCAAACCCTGAACTACTAGGGGCTTTAAAACTCGAAGCCTTTTTTTCGAGAGGGTTTCGGTTTCGAAGCATTTTTTTTTCGTGCAACTGTTTCCATAGTTTGGAAAGCTGTTGTTTAGGAAGGTAAGGGTTGAAAAAAAGAGAAAAAAATAAAATTAAAAATTATTTTTTTCTTGTTTCGTTTATTTTTTTACTTACAACTTCCGCAAAGCACGATACAGGACAAAACGTGACTTTTTTAGTTTCGATCTTTTCAAAATTTTTATAGACTAATTCGTGGAATTTTTTTGATTAGTGAACAACGTCGCTTTAATGTTGTAGCGCAGAAAGTTGAGAATATTTATGATAAGTTATAACAGCTGTAGAAAGCCAAGATCGTGCTCAGTCGTCATTATTTGATAAGTTGAGTTCGAAGAACTATCCGAAGCGGCGCCTTCGACTATATAGTAATAATAGGCTTAAAAATTGTTGTAGACGTCTTTCTTATTATCGCTATTCAAAAAATGCTATAGTCTGTTCAGATTTTGAATGTCAAGTAGAATGACGTCATTCGAAAACTCTCTGTGGATGGCTCGCTCTCTTATTGGTTTACCGCGCCATTAGGGGGCGGAGCTTGAGCGAGGACTTGACATTTAAAAACTGAACAGACTATATTCTATTCAAAAATTCAGATCACGTTTGCCTTTTAATTAGACGAGAAGAAAGATACGGCGTTATGCTTTAAGTGATATTTGTGAGGTACACATTTAGTAGGCTTTTCAGGTCTCTGAAAAAGTTCTCTAGTCAGGAACTTTTTCTAGCGACATCTATACATCCTCTCAAGCAACAACAAAAAGTTTTTCGCAAAGTTGCAGCTACCAGGACGTTTTTTTACCGCGCGGTAGAAGCATGACTCAAAATCTACTGTCCTCATTTGCCGAGCTCATAGTCTTGGCCAAAGTTTTTTCCAGTACCAATCACATTTCATGTTTGAAAGTAGTCCCTGTGTCAAACAAATAGTAAAAATATCGAATGATTTCAACGCTTATAAGTCTAGTTGAGAGGAGAACGAAAAAAGCTACTTTAATTGCTGATTTTAACCCTTTTTCAAAATTACATAAAACTCACACAATTTCGTTTTGAATGATACAATTACACTTGGAAAATAAAACATGCCACGCGCTTCAAAATGATATATAACTTCGACAGGCCAGTCTAAAATCCAGCTCAAAAAAATCTCTTGCAAGGAGAGTATCAAAAACCGCAAGAACTTTCTGAACAACCTAATATTTTCTTTGTCATATCTTTCTTTTTCGCATCAAAAAAAGTACTACAACGAAATTAATGAATTTATTATGATAAATTTTTCTTCAATTGCTCAAAAAAACTTAGGCTTCTTGTTAGGAACTTGTGAAACCGATTTTCTACAGTTTATGAGTCTGTAATAAACCGTAACCAGGGGGAATGGAATATGGGACAAAAATAAACTTTGAAAAAAATGGTTTGCAGAACGACACAGTCTAAAAATTTAGGGCCCCCATATACTGATCAGGAAGCTGTCGAAAAAATTAGAACTTCGTATAATTTTAAAAATAATGAAAATTCAAAAAACACCCGTGTCTTATTATTCACTGAAGCACGAGAATAAAGCGGTCTCGTGCAGAATTACCTCTGGCTCTCCAAAATTTAGTTATCTTTTTCTCTCGATGACAACTTCGGATTTTGCGGAATCACTATGAACATGACATCAAGAATTAGAACTAAAATAGACAGTTTGAGAAAACAGATTTAAAAAAACCGGAAAAATGGAGAAATCTCGTTTCTGGAGGAAAACAAAACACGGTGTTCCGCGCAATGAAAAAAAATGCGAAATTTTGGGTGCCAGCGGCATATTATCCGTGGCGCATTATTGCGCCCTTCTCATGGTTTCTGGTGCAAAAATGATGGTAGGACGAAAAAATTTGATCCGCAAAAATACGTCGCGTGAAAATTGCGACCTCGCATGCTGATCAGGTGTCTCAACGGGTGTACCCGTATTAAACCCGTGTTTCTGAGGTTATTTTAGTCTCAGTTGGGCTAAAACGGGGGAACAACGGGTGTAAGAAAAATATGTAACCCAGCTGTGCTAAAGCGGGGTCTCAGTTGGGCTAAAAATTGCCAAAAGTTCTACCAACTGTGCTTATACGGGTTTAAAACGCAGCATGCGAGCTGAGAAGGGTAACCCAGCCGTGCTAACACGGGGTCTCCGCGGGTGCCCCCGTATTAAACCCGTATAAGCCCAGCTGATAGAACTTTTGGCACTTCTTAGCCCAACTGAGACCCCGCTTTAGCCCAGCTGGGTTACATATTTTTCTTACACCCGTTGTTCCCCCGTTTTAGCCCAACTGAGACCCCGCTTTAGCCCAGCTGGGTTACCTCTTTTTCTTACACCCGTTGTTCCCCCGTTTTAGCCCAACTGAGACTAAAATAACCTCAGAAACACGCGTTTAATACGGGTACACCCGTTGAGACACCTGCTCAGCATGCGAGGTGCTTCACGTGATTTTTCATGTTTATTTCAGCTGTATCTTTATCTGTTTCGTACTGATTTACGGTAATTATTTTTTATTGCGACAGCAAAATGCGAAGGAACTTTTTTTTTCAATTTTCAATATTAACTGCTGTGTTTTGACCAAATTTTCCCTTTAAAGCAAAAAAAGCCTTTCAGCAACATTTTCAGTGTCAAATTAAATTTTTTATTCGAATCAATCAATCTCTTCATTTTCGCAACATCAGAATGGTATGGCGATGTTGCAGAGGAGAAAAAATACCACTAGGTGGATGAACTAAACTAAATCTGTAAAGAAAACTTTTTTTTTAATTTTTAATAAGTGGGGAAAGACACATAGAACCACAATAAGTCATTTTCGGCACAAAACTCCACGTTTTTTTCACTCAAAAAGGACTTTAACCAATTTTTGAGGATGAAAGGTATGAAAGTGTTCCGAAAAATAAGAAAAAAACTTTCACCCAAATGTTTTTTTGTCAACTAGAAAAGGAATTGTGAAAGGATCGATTTTTTTCCACGTCTATAGTTTTGAAAAAAAGGTTTCTTTCGAGGAAAAAAATTATTTTTTTGAATTTAATGAGTATGCGAGTTAGCGTCGTTCTGTGTATGCACAAAAGACGTCAAATATTACGGAAATTGTGGGAGGGGCGTCGTCAAAAAGAACGCCGTGAAAAAAATACTGGAAACAAAATAAAAATTAAATCTGACCGCAAAATCGCATTTTCAGCGGTTACGTCGATGTGTCTGCACACTTTAATTTTTACTACCGTAAGATAATTCAGAGATTGCGCCAATGTGTCTGCACACTTTAATACTACCATAAACAAGCCAAGCAGCACGCCAGATATATTTTTTTTTTTCACTGATTGAAAAAACCTTTTTTCCTATCTATGTTTTTTATGTTGGGTTCTAAAACCACGGCATAAAATACCGTTTATCCTGCTTTCCACGTCCCGCGGCCAGTTGCAAACAAACTGGCTTTTTTGAAAGCCAACTGTCGTACGCGTACTGAAAAAAGGCTATAACCCTTTTTTCAATTGAAAATTGATGAAACCTGTGAAGCTAGTCAATAAGAAACTCACTTAAAAAATTCAAATATCAAAATAAAAGTTCTCAAACTGTGCTATAGTCTGTTAAGATTTTGAATGTCAAGTCGCTTCTAAAGCTCTGGCCCTATAAGCCAATCAGAGAGCAAGCCATCCACAGAGCGTTTTCGAATGACGCCATTGTACTTGACATTCAAAATATGAACAAACTATATGGTTGTTTGCAACGCCCGCATTTTCAAATCCTAAGTCAAAAGGCTGTCACGAAGATTGTTCAAAACTTCTTAACTATGAACTAAAACTATCGGCCTATTTCGTTCAATAAGACAACACAATTATCACATGAACAAACTTTCAAAGGTTTGAAAAGAAACCAGGCCTTGTTTCTAGCCAAACTTTCAAATTGGAAAATGCAAAACAAAATACCTCCGTTGCCCAATGAAAAAGGGCCGAAAACACTTTATTGAAGGGGGGAAGGCAACGGAGTAAGGAATTATCATGAAACGAAAAAAAAAAAATTAACAGAACGTCTTCAAGCTTCGCCAACGTCCCAAGCCAATCTGCAAAGAAAAAAATTAGTTATCAGAATGATAAGATAAATTTTTTTGGTCGCTAATGCTCAGGGAAAAAAACTGGAATTAAACTTGATTTGAGGCATGAAAAAGTGAGCCATTTCTCATCAAATATGCAATAAATTATTCAGAAAAAAATCAATTTAATGATTTGACAAACTCCAAAATTCGTTCGAGAGGCGCTTTGAAACAAGTGTTTTCAGAATATCAAACAACCGGCAAACCACGAATGGAGCACAGTGGACGCCAAGTTCACAGCTTCTGATAATTTCGAATGATTTTTCTTACAATAAAAATATGCAAACGCTAGAAGCTTTTAGAAAACAAAGTCAAATAGAATCAAAATGTCACTTTATAGGGGTCCGTGTGTCACTTCAGAAATTCAATAAGCTCTTAAGCCTTTTTAGAACAAATGATTATCTTCTCCTGAAGTTAGCTATATGTAGATGAGAATTCTCAAGCTGATTCGCGGCTAGCTTGGGACGAAGGCTTGTAACGTCTGCGCTCTCCACCAGCCAGGCGCTATCTCGTGCATTATCGTGTCAGACCCTTTTTGATGGCTCAAGCCAGCCGTGAATCAGCCATATAGCAAAACGAATATACGTTCAACCTTTTTTCATCTTTATCTAGTTAAAAAAAAGGCCATCATTGTCATTCATTCGCGGTTTGCTTGTTTGTTGTTATTCCATGCGAGAACAAAAAGAAATTCCACAAAATACAGTAAATGGGGCCGGTAATCTTTATTGGCAAGGGTGGGGTAGAAAAAAAAGATACACATACCTCTAAGCGGGGCTGGAAAACGGGGTAGGGTCGTAGTCAATCGTAGATGAAGCAGCGATTGAGAGGCACCCGTCTTCGACCGGCGTCTGAACAGCTTTTCAGCTTAAAAATAAATCTTAATGAAGCAAAGTGAATTTTAAGAGATTCCATAATGACATTATATTAAGCTACTCGACTTCAGACATGAAAAGTGAGCAATTCCTCTTCAAATATTCTGTGAAATGATCAAAAAATAAAAGGTCCAACGATTCGTTCCAAACGCGCTTTTGAAATTGAAGACTTGAAAAAATATCAAACAACAGGCCAACCACAAATGGAACACAAGTGACGCTAATGTCAGTTTCTGATGATTTTTAATGATTTTTTTGAATGAAACAACAGATATGTAAAGAGCAAATATGTATGTAAAACAAAAAGGCTCTGAAAAAATAAAGAGCTACAGAGTCCGAAATTCACTCTTTAGGTCCGTCTCACTTCAATAATTTTAATAGCAATAAGGTTTTTGTTGGAAAAAAGACTCATCTTTTCTTGAATTACTGAAATTCCATAAAGTATCCAACCCAGTCTGTTAGATTTCATATGCCTAAAACTTCTTTCTATCTTTATCAAGTTAGAAAAAGTCCCACATTGTCTTCCATTCGCGGTTTGCTTGTTGTTATGCCATGTGAGAACAAAAAGAAATTCTACAAAATACAGTAAATGGGGCCGGTAATCTTTATTGGAAAGGGTGGGGTGGAAGAAAAGGAATACACATACCTCATAGCGGAGCTGGAAAACGTGGTAGGGACGTAGTCAATCGTAGATGAAGCAGCGATTGAGAGGCACCCGTCTTCTAATAACGTCTGAAAAGCTTTGTGTTAAAATTTGTCTAAATAGAGAAAAGAAATTTGAGCATTTTAATGTAATTTTTAATTCACTTAATGTAAATGACACTGAACTTCTCAAACTCTCCGAGAGTGAGTTCGTTCCAAGCCAGAAGGCTCGTGGACTTATATTAGCCCGTATTAAAACTCGACGACTTGCTATCTCTCTGAAAAAAAATGATAAAGTTAAAAGCTTACCAGGGACAGCTAAGCTACGCTGGGCAAGGGTCATGGGCCTTTGATTTAACGGATCGTGGCCAATCTGAAAAAAAAAAGAAAGAAATTTGTTTTTTTATTAAGAAAAATTATACTATTCAAAATATTCGATTAGTTGCAGGGAACGACGCTTGTTGGACTTAAGGACTCGATTCGAAATCGTATGAACTTGCATATACCGCCTAAAAAGAAAATTAGTCTTTTACGAGTCAGAATAAACTACGAAATAATGGAAGAACTGATCAGAGTCCTCCAAAAATTGTTCGTTTGTATTGAAGTCCAACTGAGATGGAGATTATCTGCAATGGAATAAATTTTTTCAAGATTTAATCAAAAATTCACTTCAAAAATTAAAAATCCCAAGACGCTATCTATCCGTGTTTCGACACAAGTTTCAAGTGAAATCATCTAGAACCAAACAAAAATTCAATTTTTAATATTTTCGAAAAAATACTCGATCGGCTGAGATAATGAAGCTTCTCTTCATCCGCGTCACCGCCAAGTTGAAACTTCTGAAAATAATGAAACTATTTTTTCGAACTTCGATTGAAATTCACCTCGGTTCGTTGAAAATCCACCTCAAAGTCATCGCCGGGCTGGTGGCTAAAAATTTTTAAGATTAGTCGTGTTTCGAAATAAATGGGGTATTCGCGTATTTTTCAAAGTCAGTTTAAAAAATCTCAAGTTAGAAGAGCTCAACGTGAAAACTACCTATGCGGTGCGCTAGAGCTCCGCTCGGCCATCACAACCTAGGCGCCGCAGGCCGTGCGCGGCATTTTCTGCTCGGTTCCGTCCTCGCTTTGCCAGCGTCACGCTGTCAACAGTTTCTGTCTTGGCCCTCGGAATGGGCTTCGACTTGTCTTCGCGTACCACAACGCGCTGAGCGCAGATGGGTCGGCGCTCAGGAACCTTACAGAGTCCTACTAGCGCTTTTTTTGAACTCTAGCTTGCAATATTTTCTTTTCTATGAAGCTAAAAACTCCCCCTGTTCTGCAGGGGAGCCGACGTCGTCCACCTTCTTCATCGTCAAAACGCCAAAGTCTAGAAACAAGAAAAATTATCCTTTTTTTTTTGCTATAGAAATTACCTGCACGAGTTATCGGAGAACTCAAAGACAGAACATCTTGATCCTCTTCGCGCCGCAGCTTTCGCCAATAAACTCTCAAACACGCAATAAACTAGCTAATCTTTGGACAGGAGAGCCATAGGCGTCCTATGGCCCAGAAAAATGGCAATCCCAGGTAGCTCTCAAGGAGCCATTGCTGGAAGATACCCAAACCGTTGTCCCGGACCGCTCGAGGTCCGGCAGTTTGGAATCTGCCTCCTGCCACAGGTTAGCAACGGCGCGTAGCTCACGTTACCCCGTCGCAGGACTGGCGGCATCTAAGCGGGCCTCAGCTAAGCTCAGGCCTGCCCGCCGAAAAGCTAGTTCAATGCGCATTTTTTGAGCCATCGGGTTCAACTGTGCGGTTTAACCCACTGAAAATAATCTTTGATTATTGCGCCAAAGTATTCGTGAAATTGGCTTCATGAAAAAAAAAACGAGGCTGGGTGAAGCGCCCTACAAAAGCCAGCGAAAAAAAGTTAGAGGCAACACGACTGAAAACCAATTTATTAACTAAACGCCAGTGGAGTGCAACTAAAAGAGTTCGACAAACTCAATTATGAAATAAGCCTAAAATTTTTGAAAAAAAAAGGTAAATCCTAAAAAATTTTGGAATTTCTTTAAAAATTCAAGCTCCAAAACACGTGTGTTGGAATTTTTTTATACCAAACTCTTCAAGCAAAAACTTTAATATTACAAAACAAGTATTCTGAAGTAAAAATAGAATAAACCGGCAAGGATTCGATTAGAACGATGAAGAAAGAAGAAAATAATGTGAAATGATGAAGAAAACCGCGAAAACGTCAACCAATTGCCGCGAAGATCAAATGATCTTTTCCACGTGGATTACGTGGATCCACGTAATACTGTATATATTTTGATAGGGTAGATCTATAGATCAAAAACTTTAGCGCATCCGGCAAAGTATATGAAGAAAAAAACAACATGCAGTTTTTTTTACATGATCAACAGAAAAAAATTAAGGATCACTAATTGAACTATGATATTTTTTCAATGAATATATTAAAATTTGTAATTACAAAATAAAAATAAGAACTGTGCTGAAATAGTGCAAACACCTGTCATTGCGGACAATACTTCTCCACCACGACAGTTTTTTTTATCGCTTCATGCCGTGTTCAAAGTAATTTCGGGGAATCGAAAAATAAAAAAAAATAACGATTTTCTCGTTTAATTTGAAAACCCGAAATCCTGAAAATTGGCATTTCGAGGGCCGCGACGCGCCTGCTACGCGGGTGCTGCAACATTGGGTCTCGCAACGATCAAACGCGGAAAAAGGAAATTTTCATAATTTTCGCAATTAATTTTTTGTTTTTGTTGATTTGATTATTGTTTTCATTATGGCGCGTTCAGGAGCAAAACGCGAAATTTTTCGAAATTCAAAAGAGCGTTCACGGCGATACTTCGAAATTAGCGAATTTCGATTTTTGAGATAATTTCGAGATAATTTTTTTTCTTCTTTTTCTGTTTTAGATGACTTTTTTCTTTTATTTTTCAATTTTCAACCCGTTCAAAGTTATTGATTTTAGAAATAGTACGAATGAAAGCCTTAAGTTAATTTTTTCGACTGTCTGAACTTAAAAAAAGTTCAATCTTTCTCCAATTTCGAATTTATCGTGTTTATTTTTTTTTCCAACGGATGTATCAGAGTGTTTGAAGTTGCAGGTCTCTAAACTATGGCGGGTATTGGATTACCGAAAGTGCTAAAGTTGAAAAAAAGGTTAATTTTCATTCAAAAAACTTTTTCGCAGTTATTTTTTACAATTTTTGATTCTTTTCACAAAAAAATTTAGACTCGTTAGGGAGGCACGAGCGGCTCGTGTGAAGGTAACGCAAAATTTTCGTCTCTACAGTCAAGCATAAATTCGTGAGTTCTCTTATTCTTCGATATTATTTTCTTTTATTTTCAATATGTCTTGTCTGTTCAGTTATACACGAAAAATGAATACCACGGTTCAACCGGTGGTATGAAAAAAAAAACAGCAAAAATTCGAACGACCACTTTTCCGATTATTTCATATCGCTAGGGAACTTTCCGACCAATCTTTTATCGAATTTTCTTCTCAATAAACTTTTCGTTTTAAATATCCCTATATAAAGTAGGCAAGTTATTCATGTTTAAAACACACAAAAAATAGAAAAAAATATGTTGATAGATGTTTTATAAACCGAAAAATATAAGGGAAAAAAGTCGGAAAGGGATTCGGCAGAAAGGTGGCCGTCGGAAAGTTCCCTAACGAATTTCTGCTTGTGTTTTTTCATACCACAGTTCAACCAGCCTTTCCTTTCTGGAAAAATTTTTTCTGCTTACAGGCCTAGACGAACGGTTTACGAAGGACACGCCGAAAGACTACACGTGAAACTTGGATCTTTCCTTATGGAACTGTTTCTAATAAAAAAAATTCACTGTTTTCTTCTGCCTTTCTGAAACATCTCATAACAAAATAGTTTCTGTTGTTAGGTTTTTAATTTGATTAACTAAGCAGCTTGTTTTTTTTTTACATTTATTTTTCAAGAAGTTAATGCTCATCATCTTTATTCAAACAAATGGTAGAGAAAAATAAATGCGTAATAAAAACAAAAACAAAAATCATTGAAACGAAGAAGAAGTTAAAAAGCTGTGTATTTGACAAAAATCGAGACATGGTAAATTCCAAATTTATCCGGCTGACCACAACAACGTCTTGTTCGAATGAGCTGAAAAAAATTCAATACTTTTCTTTTTAATGAAATGAACCAGTTATTGAAAATTGTATAGATAAAAAAACCTTCTATTTTCTTCTTGACCGTTGCGTCGAAAAATCACGGATTTATGCTTGACTGTAGAGACGAAAAATTTTTCGTTACCTTCACACGAGCCGCTCGTGCCTCCCTAACGAGTCTAAAAATTTTTTTTGTGAAAAAGAATCAAAAATTGTAAAAAAATAACTGCGAAAAAAAGTTTTTTTGAATGAAAATTACCTTTTTTCAACTTTAGCACTTTCGGTAATCCAATACCCGCCATAGTTTAGAGACCTGCAACTTCAAACACTCTGATACATCCGTTGGAAAAAAATAAACACGATAAATTCGAAATTTGAGAAAAATTGAACTTTTTTTAAGTTCAGACAGTCGAAAAAATTAACTTAAGGCTTTCATTCGTACTATTTCTAAAAATCAATAACTTTGAACGGGTTGAAAAATTGAAAAAAATAAAAAGAAAAAAAGTCATCTAAAAACAGAAAAAAAGAAGAAAAAAATTATCTCGAAATTATCTCAAAAAAATCGAAATTCGCTAATTTCGAAGTATCGCCGTGAACGCTCTTTTGAATTTCGAAAAAAATTTCGCGTTTTGCTCCTGAACGCGCCATAATGAAAAACAATAATCAAATCAACAAAAAAACAAAAAAATTAATTGCGAAAAATTTTGAAAATTTCCTTTTTTTCCGCGTTTGATCGTTGCGAGACCCAATGTTGCAGCACCCGCGTAGCAGGCGCGTCGCGGCCCCTCGAAATGCCAATTTTCAGGATTTCGGGTTTTCAAATTAAACGAGAAAAATCGTTATTTTTTTTTTTTTTCGATTCCCCGAAATTACTTTGAACACGGCATCAACTTTTTTTAAAAAAGTTGTTTTGTTTTTTTTTTTAATTGATTTTATTTTCATTTGTCCTAATTCTTGGTTCAAATAGATTCCGCGAAATTCAAAATACTTGTAGAGAGTGGAAAAGGTGACTGAATTTTTTAGAGTCAAAATTCGCGGAACTTTCAACACGGCATAACGAAAAAACCAAAAAGGATGCGCTCGAAAAGCCTTCTCAGCAGCATTGTTTGATCTCGAAAGCGAAAATTAGCAAAGCCCGTTTTGATAATGTATCACCGGCGGTGTATTTACGCATCATTTGTTCTGCGAATCACTAGAATATGTCCTTGAAATTCTTGACATGATATCGGTTCGCACGTGGGTTCGGCTGTATGAAAAGGGCTTCCCCGGTTGGCTTAAAAGCGTTGTTCGGTTGAGAAGCTGACTTTTTGTGTCGTTTTTAATATAGTGTGCTTAGATTTTCAGTTTCCAAGCAGTAGGGTCGCTCCAGCGGACAGTATAACTTTTGCGTCCGGTAATGTTTCATGACGGATTATGATCTTCTGATGGACCTGAAACCTGGATAAAAGATTAATGAAATGGAGTTTATTAAAAAATCATCATTGCCTTTATTTATTGACCCGGAAGAATATACTGTCCTCTGGGGCGGAGCCAGCTTCTGATTGTTTTAAATCTGATCACACTACATATGTAGCCGGTTCACGGCTGCCTTGAGACACGGAAGCTTGTGCTAGGTGTCTATTTCTCTGACTATATCATATATTTTTATCGTGTCAAGATCCTTTGTTCGATAGGTAAAGCCAGTCGTGAATCGACTACAATTTAAAAAAAATTTTGGTTTTCGTATGAATGGAGCTTTACAGAACGTTACTGCAGTGTTCAAAGAAACTATGAAAGTTCCAAAATTACCGTCAGAGAGGAAAAAAGGACGATAGTTTTCTGAACTTGTGAAACAAAAATTAAGGAAGCTCCAAAATCTACAAATTTCCCATTTTTGTTCCAATTTTTGATGGACTTTCCAAGACTAATTCCCATTTGAATATGCAATTCTTGTACCAGAGAACACCCAAGTCATTTGCGGCGCATCATATTCCTTCCGTCTGATGCCATTACCACCCTATTTGTCGAATAATCCCCGTACCGTTGTCTGACAATAGTCAAACAATGAGGTCTGTCTGTGTTTGAGTAACGATTCTTGTCAACTTTAAAATGGTATTTTGTGGGATTTTTGTAGTAATGGAAATTTTTCGAAGGTTTCTTAGAAAATGCACTCAAAGTAGGGGATTATGAGAAAGTTTTGTAATAATTATTTTCATGTTGTTCATATTTTTTTTTTGTTTTTTGTTTTTTTTTTTTGGAATTTCTGTATAGGCAATTCCGCGCTAACTTGTCAGCTTTTTCTTTCCGCCAAAAGGCCAGGTCAAATTTACCCAACTTTCGCTTCAAAACCTTTGTCACTTGCAGTTATAAAAGCAGAAATTTGATCTAATTCGGTATACGGTCTTTTTGGCGGGAAGAAAAACGTGACAAGCTGGCGCGGAATAGGCTATAATACGTTAAAAAAATCTTTTGTTCAATTTTAGGGGAAAAAAAAAGACTTCAGGAGAGTAGGACACATATTTTTTGACTCTCGTTTAACTTTCGTAGTTGAGAGTTGAAAGTTCATGTCTTTTTGACGCCTCTCTACAACTCAAAACCATCAACTTATCCAAGTAATTAGTCGAATTTCCTGGAAAAACGGACTCAAAGAGGACCACGTGGGTGACTGAGGCACGCAATTTGACCCCATGCTGTGTATGGTTGTTTGTTTTTGGGTGCAACGGTAGATCTTGGTGTGTCGCGTGGGCGGGTACACGAGAACCCGGCCTTCGTCCCAAATCTCCATATTATCATCATCGCCTTGGCTTTGTCGCTGTGTTATTCGACGCGGATTCTCGAAATTCCGCGCATTTTTCACTTTTTTTCTGTTTGCGTTTTGTTTTGTAGACTGTTCTGAATTTTCTTGCTGGGTTTTTGAATGCGTAGAAGCTTATTGTAGCTTAGATTAACGCTAAAAACGTCTTTTTCCTTAAGATATTATAGTTTTTTCATACACTTCTTTGAAAGTCACTGAGGAATTTAGAGTAATCCCTATAGGGGTGGAAGGAATGATCCCTATAGGAGTCAAATTGGGGTGAACCCTTAAGGGGTTCAGGGTCTGACCCCTTAGCCCCTAAAGCTTCAGTGGCCCCTATAGGGGTCTTTCAATTTCATCCAAAAAACGTTTTTTATTTTGTTTTTCGCATGGAATTGCTTCTTCGCATAAAGTTCATAACAATTATTGACTAGCATGTCCCCTATAGGGGCCTTTTTTCAAACGTTAGGGGTCCCTATAGGGGCTCGTAAAGTGGTCCCTAGAAGGAACCTCCAAGGGTCCCAAAAATGCCCCTATAGGGACCACTCTGGAGGTCCTAAACACAACAAAGAGTTTTTAACGGTTTGTAGTTATATTTCATGTTCATATTTCCAATAATGCTTTTTTCAGCTCCTATAAGATATCAAAACATTTTTTAAAGCGTTTTTTTTTTCAAACAGGATCCTGTCCACGATCCAAAATGTCATTCTCCCCTATGAATCACACTCCTGAATTCGAATCGTGTGCGTCATTCGCTGGAAACTCATTCATTTCACGTCGATTTCCAACGTTTTCAGGCTTCCTCCCAACTTGTATTTCCGTTTCCTGCTGCCAAAAGAACCCGTAGACAGAAAAAAAGTCGACACAGAAAAGCAGCGTTTGTGGCCGGCGGCGAGCCCAAACACCAAGTCTGCACCAAACTCCTACCGTACCACCAGCGACCGTAGCCACTTTTCGCTTCAAGACCCCAGGTATACTGTGTTTCAGTGTTTTTATGAGGTGTATTGATTTGATTTTTTCATAAATCAACTCGCGAATTCGGTCAATTTCCAGCCGCCCCAACGCCATGTCGGACCCGTCGCTGTTCTCGCGCAACGGCCTTCGTCTGTTCGTCATCTGCTCGTTGCTGACGGCGATCACCAACTTCCCGTCCGGCTTCTCCCACACGTCCATCAACACCGCCGTCCACAAGATGAACGACTATCTCAACTCCTCGTTCACCGAGAGATTCAGGCCGTTGGACCATGGCGAGGTGTGGAGAAAGGAATTAAGAAGGAAAAAACTAAAAAAATTAGTGGAACCTATAGGGGTCACGCTAGCCGGTAATTTTATGAACTCTAAGCGAAGAAGCAAGAGTAAAAATGAATAAATAGGCGTTTTTGAAGAGAGACCCCTAAAAGGTCCACTTGGGGTTTAGGACCTAAGGGTTCAGACCCTAGACCATCTTTAAAAAACGGCTTGAATTTTTTTTCGGCCAAAAATGTACACCTCCTACACATAACTTTTTCTGAAGATTCTCTCAATCTAACATTTTTAGGTATCCCTCCTGAAGTCGGGAATCAACTCGGCTTGGTATCTGGCCCAAGTGGCCGGCGCCATGTCAAGTCCCTACCTCTGTGATACCTACGGGCGAAAAGGTTCGAAAAAAAGGGAAAAATTTAATTGAAAGTATTTTTCAGTGGCTTTCGCGATCTCGATTTTCATGATGACGGTGGCTGGCGGCATGCAAATGCTTGCTAGTTATACTCCTTATCATGAAGTTGGTTTTGGAGGTTTTAGTTGTAGATTATTCAGGTTCTTTTTCAAGGTTTGGGGTTTGAGAGGGCTTCAAAATTGGGCTTTGAAACAATATAAAAAAAAATAATAAATCGAAAGTTTTTTTGTTCCTCACAGATAAGTACGGAGAAAAGCAGAAAAAAGAGTTCGGAAGATTTTCAGAAAAATAATAGCTTGTTTTAAAAATTTTGAAAAAGGTACAGGGGAATATCAAATTTAGTGTGAAATAGCTCAAAACCAGTCCAAAAAAACCACGATTTTCGAGAAATTCTTGACTTTTTCAGGTCCTGATCGCCGGTCGTCTAATCGCCGCCGTCTTCTCCCCGCTCAGCGACGCCGCCTTGATTTTGTACCTTCAGGTTTGAAATAATAACATCATGAAAAAAATCCAGTGAATCATCACCATGAAAAAAAATTTTAAAGCTTGTTTTTTTTTAGGAAATCTCGCCGGCGTCGTTGCGCGGAACCATGTCTTCCCTATTTTCAACCGGTTATTCTACCATGTGCCTCCTTGGCATGATTTTGGGCCATGAGTGCCTTTTGGGTACCTGAAAAGTCTTAAGAAAAAGAAATGAAGGAACTTTTTGAGGCCATTCGTTGACGTTGCTCCTGTTCGTACCGGTGATCCCGGGGGTTTTGTCGACCTTGTTCATCTGCTGGATCCCTGAAACGCCCAAGTTCCTGCTCTTTGCTAAGTTGGTAGAGCCACAAGGAAATTTGGCCATGGAGAAACGTGGAAAAAATTAAATATAGACTTTTTTTTTGGAATAAAATCAAAAAATCGTTGAAGTTTCTCATTTTCTTTTTGTAATTTTCTTGAAATTTTGTGAAAAAAGATTTTTTGTGATTTTTTGGACTTTTCTTTTTGTACTCTAAATCAGGAAGAAACTATCAAAATTTTGAAAAAAAAAATTATTTTTAAGGTTTAGATATTGAGCTTCACATTGGGCTTATTGGAAAAACGTTTGAATTTTGATTATTATCTGAATTTTCTCCAGAGTTTTTTTCAGAAACTTATGGTTTTCTGTGTACCAGGGAAGCTTCTAAAAAGTACTATTTTAAATAAAAAAATAAGCTAAAATTCTTATTTTCTGAAACTTTCTTCGGAGCTTCACCTTCTACATAAAAAACTCATCAGAAAGTTTCCTGAAAGATTTGAACTCCAACTTTTCGGAATTTTCATCTGAAAATCTTCAGGAACGACAAGCAAGCCGCCCTGGACTCGTTGAGGTTCTACCAAGGCCATTTGCCAGACCAAGCGCTTCTCCTCGACACGATGGCTCAACGCGGCAAGGACGACAAGCAGGAAGATCCCACCGAGAGCGGAATCGTCGTACGTCTTCAGAATCCCAGAAGAAAAATTCTGAAATTGTTCAGCACCTCTTCCGGACGCCTCACCTCCGTCGCGCCTTCTTGCTCTCCGTGTCGGCGTTGATCCTCACCTTGCCTTTCTATCCGATCCTCCAGAGCAGCACCTTCTTCTTCACGGATATGGGCGTCAGCATGTAGGGATTTGGGAAATATTCAGGGAAAATGAAATAATAATTCATCCGCCATGATCTTGGTACAAGGCTGTATATAAAATTGCATGCATTCCAAGAAAATATACACTGTGCACAGCAGTTCAGACCTACAGGGACCCGTCCGGTTTGCACTGCGCCGTCTCCGATGGCCATGATAGACCATTTTTTCTGTTAATTAAAACGAACAAGGCTATTTCCAACAATTATAGATATTAAAAAAAAAGCAGAAAAAACAATTTTACTTAATAAATATGCATTACCCAAATTAGGCCATTTTTTAAGGCTTGCTAGCGTTTGGAAAAACTTGATTGTATCATTGAATGGTCTACTTGCGTTTTTCTTCTAATCTGTTCATTTTTTCGTACAAAAAACTCGTTATTAACGAAGATATCGTTCAAAAACCGCGATTGGTGTATGCACAATTGAAGCATACAGTGTGCCAAATCGGACGGGTTGAACAGATGTGTGTGGCGAGTTAAATTGGATATTACTAATGGAATAATGCCTATTTTTGTACCTTGAAGCTCAATTTCTAAGTTTTACTTATTAAAAAACTGAAGGGTATGGTACTGTCTGCGCTCTCCATTAATCAGAAGTTCTCTCATTTATTATCGTGTCAGGACCCATCTTTCAATGGCTCTCCATTATACGAAAAAATGTCTTTCTTTTTGTTTTCTATTCACGTTTTACCTTGCATAGGCAAAGTTGGAAAGGGGGAAAAAAGGCTTCATAGAAATGTTCCTTTTAGGGAGACAAAAGCTCCTATTTTGCTGCCTTTCTGCGCCATTTCATCGGCTTTTCTGCACCATTTTTGCTGCCTCTTCCTTTTTCCTCCATTTCTTGAGCCTTTAAAATTCTAGAAAAATGAAAGGCTTGATAAAGGAACACTTTCTGCTACCTTTCTGCGACCTTTTCCGAGCCTCTCCCTTTTAGCAGCTATTATTCACCATTCCGGCTTAGGTTGTCTGTATGAAAAGCTCAATTTTGTAACGGAAAATCAACTTTTCTGCTCTTGAGAACATTGCTGTTTCTGATCATCTCCATGTTCCAGTGAAACCTCGCAAATCGCTTCAAGCCTGCTAATGGTTGCCCTGACTTGCTCGTCAATCTGCTCCACTTTGGTCATTGATCGATTCAATCGGAGGTTTTCAAAAGCGAAAAAATATCCTGGAAGATTGATTTTTTTCAGAACGATGTTGCTTCTGTGTGGATCCGCCTCGGTGATCTTCCTCTGCCTTTTCGGATTGGCCGAACAACTTCAGTATCAAATCACGGCCATTGGAGCTTGTTTCGGTTTTATTGTTGCTTATGGGTGAGTTTGAAGTGTTTGAAGGTGTCGGGAAATCTGAAAAAATGCTTTGAAAATTCAGAACCGGCGTCGGCCCAGTCGTTTGGAGCATTCCTCCAGAACTTTCGCCCCTGGAATACCGGTCCCTGATGTTCTGCCTGTGCTATTCGGTTCACAGCATCCTTGTCGTTGTTACCAACTTTTCGACTATTCCTCTTTTCATGGTTAAAAAATTGCAAGAACAAAAATAGACTTATAATTTTTTGCAGTCTATCGGCGCCTTCTCATTCGTCCTTCTCTTCGCCATCCCCTCGTCGTTCGCGTTGATCTACCTCTTCCTGCGACTTCCTGAAACCAAAGGACGCGAAATTTATCACATCATTGCCGATTTGAAGTCTTCTGGAAGAGTTGCCGAGAAGACCCTTGAAATTCCCGCTTAGTTCAACTGTTTTATCTTGGAGGGAAGAGTTGTGGAAAATCGGACCAATTTTAACTATTCATCCTAAAATGAACAAATTTAAGAATTTTGTGAAAAATGTTTTTTCTTTTCCACAGCTCTCCTCTACTCACTCAAAAAAAAATTTTGTCGATTTGTTATATCTTGTGATAATTGTGTTATGTACATATCCAACTGCACAATTCTTTCATTTCAGTCTTTCCTTCACTTTGTTCTTACTTTTATTTACGGGATCGTTTACAAAAAACAAAAATCTAACCAACCATCGAATTGCTTTACAAGAAATAAAATTTCGAATTTTCTGCCTTTTTGACGATTCAAGCATGGCTAGGTGCGAGTTGGCACCTTTTGACAGGCTCTTGATTGAGTTGGCGAAAACTTGGGGTGGCAATATGGGATGGATAGGTGTGAGGAATCAAGCGTGGGACAGTGAGATTTCTTGGGGTGGGCACGTTTGAAACTCTTGACGACATTATTTAGGTTTGAAAAAGAGAAAGTATAGCCAAAGACGGTGGTTTAATTGAATTAAAAAGGAAATTCAAAAACCATCCCGATTGATTTTTGACCTTACGGTAGGCTAGAAAGTTGTAGACACAAGTGCCTGGCGGACAAAGCGTTTTCATTAACGCGCATGTTTTCTTCACTAAGAATAACTGCCGAGATAAACGCGAGACACTGGCGGTACATTGACGAGCTCGCAAACATCTCGCTTTTTTTCTCGCGCCGGTTTCGCATTAGTCTGGGCGCGAGCTCGCATTTTTCTAGGCGCGAGCTCGCATTTCTCTCGCAATTTGAAAATTTCCGAAATGCAAGATAAATGCGAGATGGCGCCGAGAAAAATGCGAGGTCGCGCCGAGATACATGCGGGATCGCGCCTAGAAAAAAGCGACATTTTTGCGAGTTAGTCAATGTACCGCCACCGAGCTCGCGTTTATCTCGTCAGTTATTCTTAGTGTTTCTTCCGAATTTTTTTGACAGTTCAATTTTTTCAGTTTGTTCCTTAGTTTCAAGCTCAATTTCCTTCTGATTTCAAGTTCAAATAGTACAAGGATCTGTAGACGCTCGGAAGCTCACTTAGGTCGTTGTTTCTGGCGATCTTATCAAATCGTCAGTCATTTTCGAAGAAAGACCAAGATTCAAGCAATCATATATTTTGTTGTTTTAGTCATAGATTTAATCGTCTAGGCGGTGAACAAGAACTTTTTTAGTTATATCTTTTGCGAATTAGAAGTCCAAACGCGTAGTCGAAAGTGTTGAAAGTATGGTCCTTCGCCTCGTTTTTCTGGACGTAGTCCATTCAGTTGTGCCTTGACGAGCTCAGAATACAGCGTATTTTGTGCTGGAAGACCGTGCTCTCAGTGAGAGCCTCGAAATGAGAACTACCACTTCGACTAGAGAAATTACACGAAATTCAGAAAACTATTGTGAATTTGGCATCGATAAGGTTATGTTGTATTTTTTGTCATGGTTTGAAATTTTCACGTACAATCTAGTTGATAAATACACACTTTGAAACAGTGGCTATAGATTTTTTCAAAATTTCAATTAAAAAAAAATGTTTTCATTTTCTTTTCTCGTTCTGTTGCTGGTTATAGTTGTGTACATTCACATCAAAAGAAAAATTAAGAGTTCGAAATACTCTCAAGGCCTTGAAAAGTGGCACATAAGGCCTTAGCCAGCCTTTTTCGACAGACTATTAGATTATTATAACATTTTCAAAAAATGCCACCTCACTATCTGTCCACTTGTCCAAAAAAAAAGTGTTCTTAATCCTGACAAGGCACGTAAATTTATTCACGCCAACCTAACTGTCATTTCCTGTCTTAAAATTTGACAAGGTAACAGTGTCCGGTGACAGTTATAATCATGACAAGGTTGTTACCAAGGCGTGATTGGGCCTCTGGGCAGTTGGGCGGGAGGAGGAAGAGGCGTGGCCGGAACCTGGCCCAACCTCCTTTTGCTTGGGACTTTGGATCATCATTTGAGCAGCTTTGCTTGGTCTTGAGCACTTGTGTTCAAGAAAGCTCCTTTTTTCTTTGTTTTTGTTTGTGATATCTTTTTTCTGACTGCTTTTCGTTTGTGAAGTTTTCATTTGAACTAGGTTTTCAGCTATTTTCTCAATTCTGTTTTCTTTTTTCAATATTTCTTAACCAATTTTGTGTCTCATAAACTTCTTTTGGCTTATTTTTCACTTTATGAGAGCGAAAATTTCTATTTTCTTGGCTTTAAATCAACTTTTTGCCTTGATACTTTCATAAAGTTGGTATACTATTTTTTTTTTCAAAAGCAAGACATAGATTTTCAAACGAACCATAAAGTAAATTTTCGAATAAAGATTATTATTTCCTTGTTCCTTCCTTATTATTCGTAATAACATCATTTTTTCTGGAAGTATCTCTTTCACAGTCGTTTTTTTTCCTCTCATCATTTTTATTCTTTATCCTAAAGGTTTTTTTTTTCAAGCCAATGGAGCCGATCACAGCGACTTTGTTGACCGAAGAGATGTGGCGCGAATGCGACCGGCTTGGCAATGAGATGATTGTCAGTAAAAGCGGAAGGTTACTTTTTAGAATTTTAATGAGAATTTTCAAAAAGTGATTTTTGTAGCTCAAAAGATCATTTTTAACTTTGAAAGCATAAAATGAAGTTTCATGATATCATTTTCAGATCATTATTCCCGCGACTGTGCTACAAACTCGGAAACATGGACCCCAACGCCTCCTACTCCATTGGCCTCAGCTTATCGCTGTGCAGCGAACGAGTATTTATGTTAGTATAAGAGAATGATTCTGAAAGAAAAAATGGAAAAAGGTTCATGAAAAAAACTTTTTTGGGGGTCAGTTTCGAAAAGTCCAAATATTCTACATAAGGAGCTGATTGTTTAGAATTTTTTAGGAATCCTCACTTTTTCTCGATCTTTTTCATGTAGCTAGCGAGATTTTCCGATAAATCAATTATTTTCATTTTACCCTTCATTTTTTTCTGTTTCTCCTGAATTTTTTAAGGAAAAATGTGAGAAAAAAGGTTGATGAAAAAACTTTTTAGGGTGAACTTACTAAAAGTCGTTGTAGATCGTCAAGACGCTCAGAAGCTGATAGGATTTTTTTTTCAGAAGTCACTTAATTTACACGATAAAATTATTTTTGGTTGTACGATTTTGGAAATTTTTTTCCACTTTCTCATCAAGCCTACGCTTTTTGATAATTTTTTTCTACTTTTTTTGCCATATTTTTTTCTGTTTCTCCAAAAATTTTTTTGAAAAATCTGTTCTTTGTTTTTCTATCAAGATGCTTCTATAGGTTTTTTTATAAAAAAATTAAAAAAACCTGGAAATTAGGAAAAAAATAAAGTCCCTAGTGATGTGAGAGAGTTGGGAAAAAGGGCTGAGCTTTTTATTTGCCCCGCCATTTTTTTAAAAAAATTTTTTTATAAAATTTGTGAAATTTCTCTGATCTCAATTGACCCCCCTTCATAATTATACCAATATATGTGTTCCAGATATTCTCGCGAGCACGAGAATTGGCTGGAAACCAACCGAGGGGCCAACCAACACGTCGCCTCGACTGTATGGGGGTCGGCGGCTGCGTTAAAAGGCGAAGATTGGATGAAAACCCCCCTCATGTTTTCCGTTCACCTGAGCAACTCCACCGAAGAGGTTGCCGAAAAAACGGTACTTTTTTATAGATTGCTGCTGAAATGACCTTGATTTAGCGAAAATCGGTTTCAAACAGGCAATTTTTCAATTTTTCTTACTTTTATTTAATTTTTTCAGCATTGAAAATTCGCTCATTTGTTGAATTTTACCTGCTTTAAACTAATGATTTACCTGTTTTAAAATCAGTTTTACCTGTTTTAAGCTTTCCAATTCAAAGTGCGTAAACTCACTTGCATAAGGACCCTGAAAATTTCGTTTAAAATAACCTTTTTAGCATGATTTTGAAACGATTTGCCCATTTTTAAGACTTCAAAGCTCATTTTCGTCTTGATAATCTGAGGCTTATTGTTAAATCAAATTGAATTTGAGGCATTTTTTCTCTTGGAAATTTCAAAAAATCCTTTTTCAAACTTCAAAACTACATTTTTCGACATAGACGCACTGTTAGGATATAAATTTTTTGAGGAGATAGATTTTCAAAAATTATTCCTTCAATTTATCCATATTTTTCATGGAAATTTTCACTTTTCAGCTCCCAATTCACTCTCGGCACATGTACAATCCAGTACTCACGATTTACCGAGAAAGGTTCATTTTTTCGTAAATTTCCCATATTTTCAATCTTTTTCAGTCCTCAAGGCCTTCTCCCAGTGTCTGTCTTTGAGTTCTCGTTCACTAAATTCATTTCCACGACTACTTATCAGGTATCTTTTCGAAATTATGATGAAAGATCAATGATATATTTTCAGAATCAGAATATTTTAAACTTCAAAGTGGCCAATAACAAATATTCGCGTGGCCATGCGATCGCGGCGATGAAAAAGTTGACCGGAAGCGGGGCGATTGAGAAGGTTTGGGGTGGAAAAAAAATTAGAAAAATGTGCAATTTGCTTAGGAACTCCAGAGTGGTCCCTATAGGGGCCCTTGTATGGTCTCCTGTAGGGACCACTTTACGATCCCTATAGGGGCCACTACAGCTTGAAAAAGTGGTCTAAAAATACTCAAGAATTTTAGAGTGGCCTCTATAGGGGTTAGAGTGGAAAAACAGCCCCTACAGGGGTCGAAAAAGTGGTCCCTATAGGGGTTGTTGGAGCGGTAAACTTGGAAACTGGAGACTGATCCCTATAGTGGGAACTTTAAGGGTCCTTGGAGGGTCTCTTCTAGGTGCCACTTTACCATCCCTATAGGAGCCACTACGGCTTGAAGTGGTCCTTATAGGGGAAATTCTATTTTTATATAATCTATGCGAAAAAGTGAATAAATAATCGTTTTAAAGTGATGTTGAAAGACCCCTACAGGGTTCACTTGAGCTTCAGGGGCTAAGCAGTTATACCCTAAACCCCTATAAGTACCACCTTGATTTTACCCTAAAGAGACCACTTTTTCAAACCCATTAGAAACTGGTTTCTGCCTAATTCCTATAGGGACTACTTTGATTTTCCTAAGTATGAGTTCGAATTTTTCGTCAAACAGTGGCCAAGAGCAGTTTCCTTTATTTGTGATACCACAACCTCGTTTACTTCTCGTTTCAATTTATTTCTTTTTCAGAAGTCTAGGCCCGCAAATCTGAAGATGATCAACAACAGAAGCTCGGTAGACGCGAAACACTCGTTGACCCCGCCTCCAGAAGCTCACCAAGCGGTTCATCAGCACCAGCAACTGAACGCGTACACGCCGCCGCACCTGATGAACGATTACCCCGTCTATTCGTCCTACACACCGAATTCAGACCTCTCATCGCCGGAAAGTTCGACGGTCTGGAGCCCATTCCTACAGTATCCCTACTGTCAGCCCCCGCCGGCCTACCATAATCCCGAGCCTTTTGATTGTTTCCACTACCCTCCGCCGATGTATACTCCCTTGGAGCCTCTCAATATTCAGACCGAGTTTTTGAACTTGTAATGTATGTAGGTTGATTGTCGGAGAGGTTTTTTGAAGATTGTTAAAATAAGTCAGCAGAAATCTTTGATTTTAATAGTGATTTTGAAAGTTTGAACTGAATTTTGAACATGACTTATCGACTTCTCTGGTTCTGAAAAAGTTTCCAACAAAATTGCGAAAATTCAAAGTAGTCCATTCACCTTCATCTAGCGTTACTTGAAAAGGAAAAAAAAATCTTCCCGACTATACCTCAAACATTGCTCATAATAATTTCATGTACCTCATTTTCTTTGCATTTTTCCAGAATCTCCCATTGATTTTCATAATGTTGGCACAATTTACGCACTTATTTTTCCTATTTCGGGTGATTTTCTATCTGTTTATCAGCTGCTCAATGATTTCGTGATATTATTTCGTTTTCCTGTGCATTTTGTTGATCAACCTTTTCATGTGCCAAAAATTGACCCAATTTATCTCGTTTCTATATGAGTTATCTACATCGAATTTCAAAAATTAATAACGCAAAAATGAATCAAATTCCCCCACTTATATTAATAACATATTTTTAGGTTATTGCTCTTCTCCTCTTGAGAATTGTCCCTATCGCTTTTTTTAGTGTTCTAAATAAAGAATGATGTAAAAATTTGGTTTTGTAGTTTTTATGCGAAAAGGTTGCACCGCTACTGATAAGAAAAGTCTTGATTGTTATCAGGAATCGATCATTTTTGGGCAGAAGCTTTTTCTTTTTGCTCTTTCTGGACTTTTATTGATTTTGACATTTTTTGAGGTCAATAATTTCAAAGATTTGTATGAACTAATTTTTTTTAAATTTTACCGGGAGCTGTGAAAGGAGAAATTCGGGAGTTTATTAATTCATTTTCTCAAAAAAACTTGGGTACTTTGATCTTTTTGGAATTTTTTTCAAGTCTTTGAGTTGAGCTAAATTAATTTTTCTTTCTTCAAGGGGATCTCAGAAGATTGGAAAGTATTCTGGAAAAAAAGGTATTTTAATCTCTGAACTTGTTTTGAAGTCCTGCGGTTTCTATGATCTTTTATAAATCAACGGTTTTGAACGATAATTCCCTTTTTATAAGTCTACTTCCATAATTACACCTTATTTTTCAAGTCAGAAATATTTGTTTCTTTTCAGCATGGACTGTTGGGCCAATGTTCAGTGGGCACTTTTAGCCTTGTTCGGCTACGTTTTTTATCATTTTGTGGAGAAAAGGGTTGAATTTTCATCCAGTTGATCACGAAATAAAAAGAAGACTTTAGAGAAATAAAAGAGCCTTGGAAGTGCTCATTGAGCAGCGCAAACGACAAAGGGTGCTCAATTTCAGTTGGGCGAAGAAGGTTTTTCAAACTATATTTCAAATACACAGTTTGCTGAGCTGCGCTTTTTATTCACGGTTGCTCAACTCATTTGTTATCATTCTGTTTTCATAAATTTTTCGTTTTTCCGTGACCTTTATTCAATTTTTTTCCGTTAGTATAATTCTAATTTCGTCTATGAGAAGGCAGAAAAATATTTTTTTCCTCATGCGTTTGTCTGTCTGTTCTAAAAAAAGAAGCAATCGAAGCGATCCAATCAGAACTTTCTATAAAAAAAGAAATGGACCCAGGAAGTTGTTTTTTCATAAATTATTCTGTATGAAGAAAGATAAACAACAAAAACTTTTTTTGAGGTCTCATCACAGTTAGATGAAGTTCGAGCTGAGGAAATTGTCGCCTTGCCGTTTGAAAAAGTTGGCCGGTAGGATTTTTTTCATTTTTTTAATGTATATTTCATCAAAAGAAATTTGTCGGTTTTTTTCGAAAAATTAGACAAAAAAATATTGAAATTCGGTTTGAAAAATAATTGAAATTATTTTTCATAATGTTGATATATTGATTTGGCCTTTTTTTGCTTTTTCTCTAATTTCAATTTTCTGCGCTTTTGAAAACAATAAGAATATGAGTGAGTCGAAACGGAAGTTTGAAATTTAGCGGATTTTTTTTACGTTGAAACTGTTGAGATTGTAAATTATATTATTTTCTCTTCTAATTTTAGTTTTTTTGAATTGGCAATGTGTTTCAAGTTTTTTGAAATATTGATGAATTTTCTTGTACCTTTTTTTACAGAAAAAAACTGAAAAAGTCGCGAAATCCTATCATCGGAAGCGCTACGAGCGTATCAGCGTAAAGCTTTGGAATGTACTGAACAAACGAATTGCGTTTGTCTTTTTGTCGAGGTTGTTTTTTGTTATTTTTAGCGAAAAATGAGAGAAACTTGACCTTTATGGAATATATGATAAGTCAAAGTTTACGTTATGTGCTATTTCGGAATTAGTAACCTCTTTTTAGGTAATGTTTCGAATATTTAGACTAAAAAAAGATAAATTATAAGGGAATTTTTCGACTTTTTTTAAAATCATTTTTTTATTCAATTTTTTTTATTAGATCAGGGGCGATTTTTTTGAACTTAAAAAAATAAAAAAATAAATGAAAAATCAGCTTTTTTTCACGAAACTAAACTTTTTATTTATGTATATTTTGATTTTTTTAAAAACTTCATTTCCACGAAAAAAACGATGAAAAACAAGATTTTTTTCACTTTTTTTTTGTCATTTTCAAGTTGAAGTTTGAAAGGATTTTTTTCTCTTTAACTTACAATTTTTTTCATGTTAAATATCGAAAAAAATTGGTTTCGGAACTCTATTCGATTTCTCTATTTGAATGATATTCATTTTATTATAACATAAATTTTAGAAGTTCGAGTTTAATTCATCGTAATGATAAACCTCCTTGTCCTACGTTTCACTGAAAAATCTTTATATATATCTCTTTTCTTCCTATTCCGGTGAAAAATCTCAAAGTAACTAGTGTTTTGGCCTTGAAAAAGTTTTTGATGTTTTTTTATTGAAGTTTCGAATTAGATTTCGCATCAATTAAGGAAAAATTTAGGCTTTTTGACGAGCTACCATATAAAAAAATGCATGATTTTTTTGCCCAAATCTTCTTGGAAAAAAATATATTTCTAGTTTTGAAAAAAATTGATATAGTTCTTGTTGATAAGAAATTTTCGAATTTTTTTGATGAAAAATTATGGTTTTTAAAAAGTTTTTTTCATGAATTGAAATATAATGGAGATGATTCTAAGGACGCCCTCAGACAAGCGGAAGAACTTGATGAAAGGGCGAAATCGCCCGATTTTATCCCGCCACCATTCTTCGGCATCCCGATCAGTGTTAAGGAGTCTGTTTGTGTATGTTTTATTCATAGGCAAAGTCGAAAAGGGTGGAAAAGGCTCCATAGAAAAGCTTCTTTTAGGGTGACAAAGGCTCTTTTTTTGCTGCCTCTCCCTTTTTTGACCACTTTAAAATCAAAGAAAAAGTGGAAGGCTCGATAAAGAGACCCTTTTTCTGCCTTTCTGCGACCTTTTTTGAGCCTTTTTGCAACCTTTTTGGAGCCTTTCTGCGACCTTTTTGCACCCTTTCTGCGACCTTTTTGCACCCTCTCTGCGACCTTTTTGCACCCTCTTTGCGACCTTTTTGCTGCCTTTTCGCGACCTTTCTTGAGCATCTCTCTTTTAGCGACCATTATCCACCATTCCGACTTGAAAATTTTTGTGATAAAAATAATCATCGGTTTTCTAACAGATCAAACACATGGACTGTACCATCGGATTCGCTCAAAATCTTAACGAAACCGCGAAAAACGATGCGAATGTCGTGAAGCAACTGATTTGGCTTGGTGAAATTCAATTTTAAGTTTGAAAATAAGATTGCAATTTTCCAGGAGCCGTTCCATTTGTTCACACGAATATTCCACAGGCGTTGCTCAGTTTCGGGTGTACGAATCCGATTTACGGTAAATTACACTGATTTTTGAAAGCGGAAAATCAGGCCAATAAATAAAGAGTAAGTTGAAAACATAGAGCTGTTCGAAAAAAAGGGTCCTGACACGATGAAAAAGAGACAGTGCTTGGTTAGTGGAGAGCCCAGGCAACCCACGTCCGATCGATTTAAAAATATTCCAGGAACCACCAGCAATCCGCACGACGTGTCCCGAGTACCTGGCGGCTCGTCAGGCGGCGAAGCTGCTCTGATCGCCGGCGGAGGGAGCCCTTTAGGGATCGGAACGGACGTCGGTGGCTCCATCCGCACCCCGGCGTCTTTTTGCGGAATCGCAGGGTTCAAGGCAAGTTTATTGAATATTCAGGAGCGCATAAATTGACAGTAAGAAAATCTTTTATTTTCCCAAAAAAAGGTACATAAAACATTAAAATTATTGTGGAGGATAGTAAAATGCGTTGAATGAAAGTTTACTCCAGCGTGCGAAACTTTCGATGACATAAAAAAAGGGGCGTGGTCAGCTAATTGGAAGCTTTTTTCGGTGGAGCGAACTTGCTTCAAAATAGATGTCAAGCAATAATTTAATTCACTAGATAGTTGGGAATGTTTGTAGCTATAACCCGATATACGTAGTTTGGTTAGTTTACTTTAGAAAAATGAAAAAGTCTAACCTCTCTGCGCTCTCCTCTGTTTATACGCTGTTTTCATATCCCTACTGACTCATCGGTGAGAGAAAAGAGAGATTAGAATGGTCAGAGCTTTTCAGTTTGGAGCGAGAAAACGAATTGAAAAATTCTCACTGTTCCACACTGCGCTCTCTCATTTTTACGTGCTATTTTTAAATTTCTATAATCTTGTCGGTGAGAGAAAGAGAGCGCAGACAGGTCAGAGAAGTTTGATTCATATTAAATAGGCTCTGGACGTTTAGTGACCACTTTAGTAGCGTCAGCACCCTTAAGTGATCCCTAGATTTTATCGTCTCTTCGCTAAAAAAATAAACTCTGACCTGTCCATGCCCTCTTATATCTCATTGGAAAGGTCATAGAAAAGTGCAAATACAACGTAAAAAGGAGAGAGCGCAGAGAAATCAGACAATTTGGAGTAATGGCAAGTAGGGTATATTCATTGGTTAGCTTGAGAATCCAAGAACATCATTGCTGGCGGCAACGGAAGGCACGTGATTGTAGCTCAGACGATGTCCATATACACTGCTGGACCTTGGGGGCTCTGGAATTCCGCTGATTCGGAAAGCTTTCCCGGCGTCGTCGATGAGGAACTTGTGCGAGGTCGAGAACCGTCGGGGAACTATCTGAAATCATTTTCCAATGCTTGAGAAGAAATGATAAAGCTGATTCACGGCTAGCTTGGGACGCTAAGGGGCGTGTCACGAGCCAGGCGCTATCTCGTGTATTATCGTGTCAGGACCATTTTTTCGATGGCTCAAGCCAGCCGTGAACCCGCTATAAAGCTCACCTTCCTGTCCCCAACTGTCCCAACAGTACGAATGAACGAGACCGGGTCAGGCTCAATAGATATGGGTTTTCGCTGCAAGTCGGCCATCGTCAGAGCTTCGACTAGGCCTGAAATTCACTTCGAATCTCATTTTTTGAAGATTTTAGAAATTATTATAGTACAGTCACTATTACATAACTAAAATCGATGCTGTTTTTTTTTTCTTTCGAGATTTTAGCCAGATTTTTATTTGAATATTAAGTTTGTCCTCGGTCTTATTTGAAACAGTGAGGTTTATCAAATAATATGGTTCATTTGGACTCCTAGAACTGTAATAGGTCCCAGGCCCTGAAAAGTGACGTCACTGAGAGAAGTTCCAGCTTGATGACGTCATGGTCACACAAGCTTGGATCAAGTTTCAGTTTTCGCTGGCCGAAAGTGACGGATCGAAATTTCTCCTTTCATAATATATTTGAAGTCACCCCAGAATTATCAGGATGACGTCATTTTAGTAAAGACTGAAAGTGACGTCATTAAAAAAAAAGTGGAATCAGCAACAAAAAAAAAAAATCAAATAACTGAGTTTCTTGAATGAAAATGGTGAAAGTGGGGATCGACGTCATTTTTCCAAAATTTCTTAAATGACGTCATTTTAAAACTGGTGATTTTTTTCACACCTACGAATAAAATGGCAACAGAATTCTCTGGGTCAAAAAAATATTTCACAAAAATTATTTTTTTATTTTTTTAAAATGACGTCAGTTACTTCACTTATAAAATTGGAAAAATTGACGTCATTTTCAAGCTGCTTTTTAGTGACGTCATTTTCCTTTTTTTTCAAATGACGTCATCATAAAATTGTTCTTAAGTGTCCCCACCTTTGAAAAGATGAGCAATAAAATTTCCTGGCTTAAAAATTTTTTTCTTGATACAAATTTTTTTTATGACGTTAGTTACTTCATTTATAAAATTGAAAAAATTGACGTCATTTTCAAGCTGCTTTGAAATGACGTCATTATTATGATATCTTTAAGGAGCTCAAGGTGACGTCATAATAAAGGTTACAACTGAAAATTTAACAAGCTCACCTGCAATTAAAACAAGGAAAACGAATATAGAAACAGGGTCGGAACGCATGGTTTCGGTTATCAGTTGGGATTCCGAATGGGTGCAGTTTTTGAAGGCGTGTGACGACTTCTGAAGACGTCCAAAAACCAGTCTTTTTGCTTTGTTTTCTTTCCGTCTTTCTCTCTTTTTATAGTCACGTTTGGTCTTTCGTGTGCCAAAGATCCCAGCTGCAAGGATTTTTATCTGAAGGAGTTTTCTTTTTTTGATCTAGAAAAGTTGGGAAGTTACTGAAAAATCGATGGTCATTTTTTAGCTTTTCTAAAAGCTGATTTTTAGCTTTTCCTATTAAGATAATGTTTTACCCGGCTAATCTAGTAATATTCCAGATAATAGTGTAATCTTCCGTTCATTTGGTCGGCTATTTTTTTGCAGGGAATTTTTCTAAGAAAAATAAGCAATTTCATTTTTATATGATAACATATTGTCCTACGTGCACGTGAAAATTAAGAAGTGAAAAACAAAAATCAGGTTTTTTTATGTTGATGGTTTTTGAAGGTTCACGGGAAGGTTGAAAAGATGAAGGAATGGTTGAAAGTTGACGGGAAATTTTCAGAGAGTTTCGCAAGAATGAGCGAAAAAAATAAGGGTTTTTCTCAAGATTCTTGGATGATTTTTTTGAAAAATATGTATTTTATATAAAGTCAAATTTTTTTAATAAAAAAATTCAATTCAAAGCACTAGGATATTCAAAAATTGAGTTTATCATGAAAAATTGGATCATTTGAATTTTTTTTAAACTGAACAAAACGCATTAAAAAAAGGCACGAAATCAGTTAAATTGAACTTTTTCTAGGTCCTGAAGTTGAAATTTTTTTGAGCTATTTTTTTGAGTGATTTTTGATTGATTTGTATACAGGGGCGAGTTCCTAATTTGGGATGCTTATCAAAAAATCGTAAAATAATCAAATATTGATGATAAACCTTATTGCCATAAATCTCGTCAGAAAATCAAGAAATGCGCAAAATTTGGAACTGTGCACAAAAATACACGTAATGGTAACTTTACGTTGAGATTTTGAATTTTAAAATTTGTCTTTTTTTCAAAAAAATTCAAAAATCTTCTCAAAAAAAATTTCTTTTTCAAGTTGTAAAATTTTTTTCAGTTCAAAACTCTACAGGTTTTCTGTACCCACTTGTTTATTTATCACTACTCGGAGATTGGTTACGCGAAACGGACGTGCTGCGGACGTTTCTGGGCATTTCTAGTGACCACTTTAGTATCCTCAGCGCTCTTAAGTGATCCCTAGAGTCGCCCAGAAACATTACCAATCTGCGATTAGTGAACTTGTAATTTCATTTATTTTTTCTCATTGATTCTGATTGCAGCCATGCTCTGAGCGAATGTCGCACAATGGGAAAGTTGGCTCGATTCCAGGAAGGACCATGCTAGTGACCACTGAAGGGCCCATGGCGCCCAATATTTCAGCCTGTATCAATTATATGAGAACGGTAGTTTTCCAAAAAGTCATAATCTCAATTTTTCTCAGATTTGGTCCGACGAGAAATTCTTCGCCTCGGATCCATTCGTACCTCCAGTACCTTGGCAAGAACATCTTTATTCATCGGAGAAGACGCTCAATATTGGATTCTATACATTTGATGGCTACAGTGAACCACCACCGGCTTATCAGGTACTGTAGGGTGGATACTGTAACTGGAAATTAGGAGTATCTTTTTTTTTAAATGGATCTTGATTTTTTCCCTCGTGTAGTAGGTTGTCCAGTAAAATTAAACGTCGAGTTTTTTCAACCGTATAAATATTTTACGGTAATAGTAATCTTCCGGTGGCTTATCAAGGACTGTAGGAAGGATACTGTAATGAGAAATTGGAATCAAATTTTTCCCTCAAACTTGATTTGTAACCATATGAATATTTCACGCCTATAATAGTTGGCGGCTAATCAGGTACTGTAGGAAGGATACTGTAACGAAAAAATGAAATTATCTGTTTTAACTGGATTCCATGCTTTTCCCTCAGCCAGTAGGCTGTCCAGCAAAAGTCAAACTTCATTTTTTGCAACCGTATGAATATTTTACGGTTATAGTAATCTTCCGGTGGCTTGTCAAGTACTGTAGGAAGGGTAATGTGACGAGAAATTAAGAGTTTTTTTTTTCGTTTTGAAATGGCTTTTCTGTCCTTTGCTTTTTACCTACCTTACCCAGCTCTTTTCAAACAATCAGAAAACGAACTTGAATTTCCGCCGGCTTATCAGTTACTGTAGGGTGGATACTGTAATTGGAAAAATGAAGTTTCTTTATCCTTGCTTCTTTCCCTCACCTTATCAGGTACTGTAAGAAGGGTACTGTAACGATAAAATGAAATAAAACTTTTCAAATGGCTTCTCTGTCCCTTGCTTTTGACCTCACCCAGTGCACTCTTTCGGGAACGGATTTACTCCAAGCTTGGTCAAGGCTACAGTGAACCTGCGTCACCAGGTACTGTAGGAAGAATACTGTAAGAGAGTTGGAAGCATCGTTTGCAAACTTGTTGATCTTGAGCTTGTGAAACGTCAGCATATTGATAAAAATGGAGCTGTGGACGGCGCGCTGCTTTTTCCCTTTTTCCAGATTTTCTTTTGATTTTCCCCCTTTTTTTCCTTTTTTGGTCATTATATCCGATGCTATTTTCCCTCGGCTATTTTATGTTGTCTTTTCAGGGCTCTCCGAGCTGATTTACCTTTTTTTTTTGTTTTTTTCAAAGTTTTTTTTTGTTCGTGTCTGGATTCTTGGCTACTGTCCCGTGTCGATTTTATCCGATAAATGCGAGAATTCCTAGTGGCTCCTTTAGGGTTTCTAATTTTTAGTAGCGACCTTAGTGACCTCTCCAAGTAGTCCTTGAGGAACTTCTTGAGTGGCCACTTAAGTTTTCCAAGAATATCAAAATTCAGCGAGCCGTCTTGGACACTGTAGCGTTGCTCCGAAGCCAAGGACACAATTTAGTGGAATTCCAAGTCCCAAGGCCGGCAGAAGCCTTTGAGCTTTTTGTAGCTTCTTCAACTGGAGATGGTGGCACCTTTTTGAAGCAAAAACTGGACTTGGTTGGTTCTATAACTATATTATTGATTTTATCGATTGATTATCGGACATCGTACCGCCCGAATGCTATATTGGATCGCCGATTACTCGATTGCCCGTTTTCCTCCAAAAAATCATAATCCAATACATTCCCTGGCCCAGAATCAAGGCTGTACTGGAGGCTATGCCCAAAAATTGCGTTGGTAAGTTTTGCAACCCAAATGGTCCCTTAAGGGGTTTTCCAGAGCTCCGAGAAACTTTCGCCAAAATCGAGGAGTATCGTCACGACTTCGTGAGAGCCATGCGACGTCAGAATCTCGACGCGATTGTTTGCCCGGCTTTTGTAAGTTTTTTGGGGTTACGGGGAATTAGTGATCACTTTAGGGTTTCGCGGAAAGGTAGGAGGGCTTTTTGAAAGCAAATTTTGAGGGATTTTTAGGTGCGTAAAACATCCCGAAATTGGTTTTTTTAAATTTTCCTCGAAGGGGTCACTTAAGAAGCTGGTTTTTGAAGAGATTACTGTAACCGTCAAAGATTCTGGAAGCGTCAAGATTTGCAAAGTTCAATTTTCCTAAACTTCTTTGTTATTTTCATATTAATTTTTTTATATTTGAGACTTTTTGATAGATATTTTCAGCTCGTCTACAAAGTGAAAACTTTTTCTCTGCTGATAATATTTTTTTTAAACTACGGTAGGTGCTCATTGTGCAAACACGCTGACGCTTTTTTTGTTGAACGTTTTTGCAATTTTTAGAGGCTTTCCCGTGTAAAAAATGTTCATTGAATGTTTTTAGAACTCGAGAATTCGAAAATTTCATTTTGGAAGTAATTGCGCTCCAATGAACAGTTGATTATTAATCGTGCTTTGGTAAAACGAAACGGACGTTTCTGCGCAATTCTAGGGATCACATAAGAGTTCTGACGATACTAAAGGGGTCACTAAAAAGTCCCCCGACAAGTCCGATTCGCGTTTTGAATGTTTGAGTTGAAGGAGTGATCACTTCAGGGATTTTTCAGCAAAAACTGAATAATTTTATTCCTAGCCACATTTTGAGGCAACATCATGAAACTCATCCCTTAAATGACCACTTAAGACTTTTTTTTGCAGGGAAGCATCGCTCCACACGTCGGAAAAGCCAACGACATGATCTCCGCCACGTGCTACACGTCACTTTACAATTTAATTGATTTTCCGGCGGGTTCGTTATGAAAAATCAATAATTAATCGATATATTGGTTTCCAGGAGTTGTCCAAGTGACCCGAGTTTCGAAGAAAGATGAGTCGGAAGTTAGAGAGATGCCAGACGTGGACAAGTGGGCGAAGATGACCCGCGATGAGTGCAATGTTCGTGTTTTACAGAAAAAGAAAATTGAAGTGGTCCCTTAAGAGTTTAGAAAATGGGCGCTCCATTTTTGAGAGTTCTCGTTCAAAAAACTCGTGGAAATGATTACTGTCAATGTAATTTGAGAAGTGATCACTTTGGTGAAAAATTTATTGATTTTGCGTTCATTAGAACTAATTCTGCCAAAAAAAAAAGACAAATAAATTGGAAAAAAAGATTAGCTTCATTTTCAGCTTTTGGAAGTTTCAGTTATAGAGAAAAAATTTAAAAACGAGAAAAATTTGCCTTTCTGTCAACTAAATGTAGAAAATAAAAGATTTTTTGATCATTTTCAAAATTTTCTAACGCCTCAACAATTTTTTTTCAAGGCTGAAGTGGCTGCTTAAGAGGTCAGGGATTGCCTCTGAAGTGGCTACTTGAAATTTAAAACTTAAAAGAGCAATTTTTGATACTTTGACTACTTCTAACTAAACTTTGCTCAAGTGACCACTTTATTTATCGTCCCTATAGCCTGGAAATCAATGAAAAGGAAAAGAAGCGTTGTGAAAGGCCACTAAAGTGATTTACTGTGACCTCTTAAGTAGTCCCTCAGATTTAAAAAAATTTAAGTGAAAATTTCATTGTTCTGCCCGGACCTCGGTATGCCTGGCGTTTCTGAACAAATCTAGGGATCACTCAAGAGTCCTGAAGTCCCTTAAGTGGTCACTAGAAATGCCCGATTCGAGTTACCAAGGTCCGAGTTCGGATCGAGTTTATTAGTAGTTGAAGCTTAAGTGAGCACTTAAGTGTATTTTACCCCCTTGTCTACAATTCATGTCCTTCTGGTGATCTCCAAAACAATTTTTGAGATTTTTCCAGAATTCTGTCGGCCTCCCGATCTCGGTCCAAATCGCCGCACCGCCTTTCCGCGAGGAACTTTGCCTGCGACTCCTTCGAGACGTTGAAAAGACTTCATAACTTCAAAAACAACAAAAAAAAACAATAATAAAGAATTCTATCGCTTGCATGTACACTATTGGGGATAATCTCGGGTGTTATAGCCGGAGGGGAGCAAATTGTGCACTTTTGCGTGGCCGTGCAGACCGGAGAGGTCGTCCTTGGTGAGGGTGAAGCGCTGTTTCGGCGGAGGTTCCGTCGGAGGGGCATCCAGGACTCGGACGGGTGGTAGGGCGCGGACCTGAAGAGGATGAAGTACTGCAGGAAAATCTCAAAAACGGTAAAAAATAGTCCATTCGGACTGGCTTGGAACGGCGTGTAAAGTCGCGTGGTAATGCTAAATGACGGCGACACCTCACGCGCCTTTAATAAGAGCCCTATTTCAGGACCCAATTATTTTTCTTTTGCGTTTCGTCGCGTCATAAGAGATCTGACACGCAGATAAAATAATTTATGACTTGTGGGTCTTATTAAAGGCGCATGGAGAGTCATCGATAAAAAAAATTGATGACTCGTGGGTCTTATTAAAGGCACAGGTCACCGCTCAAGTTGAACTACCGGCCAAGTCATAAAATTTAAAAGAAAACTGGTCTGAAAAAAGTTTCCTTGACCAAAAAATCTCGAAAATCAAGTTCTGCACCCTTTCAGAATAGTAACCTTCAAGAAGTAATCTTACCGAAATTTGGGAAACTTAAAATTGAACCTTCTTTTTTGGAAAGAAACGCGGAGAATTTGATAAATGAAGGTTTGATCAATTTTCGTTGAAAAATCAAAGTGAAGTTACAGTAAATTGATTACAAAATCATATATCTACGCATATTTTTAAAACAGACCTTTCTACCAAAGTAGCCATCCTTCTTGTGGAACAGCCCGCTTGACATTTTGTAGCCGAACCTGGAAAAGAATTTGTGGTATTTCAAATAAAGATACAACTTCAGTAAATTTATCTTGATCGTCTATCTCAGGTCTTCCTCGATTTTTAGAAATTTTTTCAAATCTTTAATTTTTATTTTACGAACTATTATGCATTTGAACTCACAAAAATCTTCGTTAAATTAATTTTTCCTTTAAATATTACTCTTTATGAGAACTTTCCTTTACCTACAGGGAAAATTTTTAGTGGCCACTATAGGGTTTTGACGTTTTAGTGGCCACTATAGGAGTCAAATTAGTGGCCACTTATGGGGTTAAAAATTAGTGGCCACTATAGAGGTCTAAGTTCTACTACTAGACCACTAGAATTTATGTGGCCACTTAAGGGGTCAATGGATCAACATAACTGGTCCAATCTGTTTGTTTTAAAATTATCAGAGTTACTGGAAGGAATACTGGACGCAAAAATACTGAAGCGGCCACTCTACCGGAAATAGTGGCCACTATAGAGGTGGGTTTAGTGGCCACTTTAGTGTCGTCTCCAAGTAGTCCTCGGCGAGCCTCTATAGTGGCCACTAAACAGTTTCCCAGTACTGTAGATTTCGGCTTTGAAAATTTTCCACTAATTCATTTTATCCCCCAAATATCCATTACTAAAAGAACTATTTCCCCTCACCTTCTGTGCATTTGAGCCGAACCGAAAATCTTCGAAGAAATATCGGCATGAGACAATCTTCCAACCGTCGCCATGCACTCCCGATGCATGGAAAATTCGTGTTTGTGAGGCAACTTGAAAGAAAAAAAAAAGTTATTTTTCGAAAAATTATTTTAAGGTTGCTTTTAACACTGAAAACGGCTCTTCGTTTTGAGACCTTTGTACAACTTTTCTATAACTCCTCAACAATAGTAAATGATTTTAAAATCTGAAATGACATCTCTAGTAGCAAAAAAGGAAGTTAATCATGATATTTCACCTTAACAACGGTGAAATCGCCTTGATGTCGGACAATCGTGGCGGCGGCGCCGGCCGATTGGACAAAAACTTCGGATTCCGTGGTTGGATACCGTTCGACGCTGAAAATTCGTTTTAAAAATACTTTCATGACTTTTTTTTTGCAATATTTGTCTTAACTTTTATTTCTTTTTTTTTTTCATTTTTCGGAACTTCAAAACTGTAAAAATGTAGTTTTTTTTTATCCATCCTTCATGAAAAATATGCGAAAAAGGAACAAAATTAATTTAAAAAAGCGAAACTTTCGAGCGAAGTCGGAATGGTGGAAAATGGTCGCTAAAAAGAAGAGGCTCAAAAAAGGTTGTAGAAAGGCTGCGAAAAGAGTCCTTCCCATAATTTCTGTGATTTTAAAGGCTCAAAAAATGCTGGAAAAAAGGCAGAGGAAGCAAAAATGATGCATAAGGGCTGATAAAATGGCGCAAAAAGGCAGCAAAAAGGAACCTTTGTCATCCTAAAAGGAACATTTTTATGGAAACTCTTTTACACCTTTTTCGACTTTGCTTATGAAACTAATGACCATCACGAATTTTACAAGGTTCAAAAAAATTGATACGATAATAGAAACTGGGAAAGTTTTTGGTGGCCACTATAGAGGCTCGCCAAGGACTACTTGGAGAGGACACTAGAATGGCCACTAAAACGTCAAAACCCTATAGAGGCCACTAAAAATTTTCACAGAAACTCTGATTATTTGAAATAAAATTAGGAACTGTTCTATTGAAAATTGTTCATTTTTCAACACATAATAGTTTTTAAATTTCGAAAATTTCATCAAAAAAAAAGCAGAACACTATGAAAAAAACTAGTAGTATGTGACTACAAAAAAATAATTTTACAAAAAAATGAAGGCTGAAAAAAATAGGTATTTTTAAAAAGGTTGCCTATGCTTTCAAAAAGTCTCAAAACACAAAAAATGACTTTAAAAATGAAATTTTTCTTAGAATATTTTTTGAAATTTTGTTAAAAAACACCGAAAGGTTTCTAAATAAAGTAAACATTTTTAAAACTTCAATTCACGAATTAGAAAGTTTCTATCTTTTTTTTTCAAACCAAACCTATTAACAATGGTTCCAATGGCCAGGGAGCCCAAGGGATAGGCGTTCCCTTCGACGCCAATAACCGGATTTTCCGACAAATGGCAAGTTGTTGAGACGATATCGCCGGCTCTTAATTGATATTTTATTGATTTTTGATCAATAAATACGGTAAACTTCATGTTTTCCGTGGCCAAAATCCATCTTTTGCCTTTCTGGCCGGCGAGGAGGGCAATGTGCGAAGTTCTGTTCGGATCCCGCCGAACCTCCAAAACTCGTTCGTCGTAAGTTTCTCCGGCTTCCGTGGGGCCTCTAAATTTGAATAATTGTTGAAAATAAAACAATGCGATTTTTTAAAGCTGAAAACTATGTAATATTTAGCCGAGCGTATTGAAATTGTAACTAGTGAAGTAAGCCTTCATCTAAAATTTGAATATTTATCAAAAAATTCAAAGCTTGCGGATAATTTTACGTTGAAAAACTATGTATGAAATAAAAAAAGGCATAAAAAAATATAAAATTCACAAAAAAAAATATTTTTGAAAAATAAATAAATCTTCAAATTCCATGTTGATCACCACTTGTTCCATTAAAAAAATCTCAGTTTCAAAATTTTAAAAATTAATTATTATTAAATTTTAATAACCGTGTTGATTCCACTATTGAAACAGGTTCAAATAGCGTATTTTTTAACTGAAGCTCTCAAAATTTAATGTAGCAAGAATTAGTAATCCTTTTTTGAAGAAGCAAATATTTTTTCATCTCTTTTTCCTTATCATTTTTTTAAAAAAATCTCTTTTGAATGGATTTTTTTAGGAATACAAACACAATGGAGCGCTGAAAAAATTTCATTAGTACAATCAGAAAATAAGAGATGATATTAAAAGAGTAAGGTCTGTTTAAATTCATTTGAGATTTTTTCAACAGAGCCCGGACAAAAAAACGAAAACCCGTTTTCCAATGGTTTTCAATGTATTGAAAGTCTTCGAATCCCTTAGAAGGGTTTATGAACAAATAAACTTCAAAAAACTCGACCTTCTGTGAAAATCGATCATAAAATAATCGAATTTCGTTCCGCCGCCAATATGTTGGTTGACTTTTCGGCCCGTTTCCGGATTTCTTCCTCCCAATCTGAAATTCATATTTTAAAATAAATTTCATAAAATACAACAACCTATTGATTCTAAGAGGTTCGGGAGTATATTGGCCGCCGGATTTTTTCTCCAAATCTTCCATATCCCACAAATAACGCGGCAATGGTTTGGTTCCACGGGCAGGAAGGTGCCGCCTAGCCACAATCATCTAAAAAAATATTTTCCAATGAAAACTTCTTTCCAAATTATTTACCTGACTAGAACAAGCTGAAACTAGGCGTAATGCCCCAATTTCTGCAGCCAGCGACGTTATCATCACGATAAATTTATTGTAAATCTACACTACAGCCTGAAAAACATAATATTTAAAAAAAGAAAAAATGTAGAAAAAAAGAAATGAAAAAGAGCCTTAGAAATGGAAAAATTGCGTATTCAAATATAAGTTCAATAAATTTCAACCGGAAAAATGCGGTGAAGCGGAAAAACTCTAAATAAAAACTTTTCCAATCGTTTTTGAAATATTCTAAAAATTTGGAACATTTTTGCTTTCTCATCTTTTTGGATCAAAGCTTCGTACTCCCATCCATATTTAATTAAAAATAGAACATTTTAAGAAGCATCACAAGCGAAAAAATTGTTAACAAAAAATAAGAAAATTTTTTCAATTTAACAGAGCATGCGATATTTTCCAAGCGTGCCTGCGTACTTGGCGTAAGAAAATTTCTCATCTCAAATTTTTGTCTTTTTAACGTCGCGTTCAAAATGATTTCTACGAGTTTCGAAAACGTAAAAAGAGAACACTGAAAGAGATTTATAGTGTTGAACTTCACTGATTCACTTTAAACGCCCTCAATGGCAAAGCGAATGTAAAAGTCAAATTAACTTTATTAAAATGACAAAAATCATAAAGTTCAGGGAACTATTCGACGGAGGACACCTTCGAATTTCCTTTCGGAGTGCCGGGATCAGAACCAGGAGAACTCTTGACTTCAACCGGCGAAGCCTTCGAGTTGACGTCAGCCGCGACGAACCTCGTCATCTTGGATGCGTTAGGAATCAAAGGTGGGTCAGAGTCATCGGCCGGTAGAACATCGGGGAACTGATAGCCATTGACGGCACTGCTCCAAGGCTCGCGGTCGGGCAAAATTCGCTGGAAAATTATTTGAATCAAAATTAGCTTTTTAATCATTGGATAAAAAACGAACTTTCGCATTTTTTTTTTGTGAAAAGTGTACATCAAGGGAAAACCTGCAAATTCTTCTCTTCGAGGGTCATTTCCGCGTAAATTCGGGGGTAGGAAGGCAATTGGCGTTGTTTCATGAATATTCCGCGGAGGAGCTGAATTTGATCATACTTTTCTTATCATTGGGAAAACTAACATATCCATCCTTTCCAAATTGCCAAACTGCGACTAGGGCAAAAATCGGCAGCATCAGAACGGGAATAGAACAAACGAACCAGCCGACAATCTTGAAAATGAACGGGTTTTCAAGATTTTCAAGGTTTGCAAACATCGAATAGGACAGGGTACTTGTTCGGGTCTCCCTCAAAAGGATAGTCGCGGATGCTGGAAAGGATAACGAGAGCCTGAAAGTAAATCATTTTTCGAGGCCGCACTTGGAATGGATCTATGCGAGGCGGCCGCGTAGCGGTTTACTAGCAGCTTGGCTAGATTTTGAGAAACTTCAGTGATGAAACTTGGAGAGGAAATCAAAACGTATCATTTTTCACGAAAAAGTATATTCGTAAGGGCCTAACGCGTCGCGGTCGCGGGGCGGTTTCAAGCCATTCCCAGTGCCACCAAATGGTGCCTACCGTTCCAAGAGTTGGTGTGACAAGCATCCAATTGAACTGGTAATATGGCGAGTGCTGGCCAATCAGCTTGGTGATGGCATTTTTCGGGGGACCCAACATTTCCAGCATGTCGAGCTCCTGGTTTCTTCTGCCTGAAGATTTTGAAAAATGTAGAACAGTGATTCCGGGATATTTAAAATAGCGACCAGATAGGGGAAAATATAACTGGATTTAAGTTCGCGAAAATTACGATCGTGTGCCAGAGCGCCGCAGTGTATGCACACGACACACTACACTTTACGGAAAAAACATGGGCGGGCCGTCGTCAAAAAAACGCCGTGGGTTACAAGGTCAAAAGTTCGATTGTCATGGTAGCAGAGGCCTCCGCACTTTTCTTAAGCAAGCTTCAGAATGTACCATAGACATAGGCAATGACGAGGATTTCAACCGTCAATGAGACACAGGAAGAAACTCCGGCCGCGTATTCGTCAAACATGACGAACCAGTAGAATCCACCCTGAAAATAGGAAATTCCACGTGCGACCATCGAATATTACAAAACTCACATCCGTACACATAACAAGCCCGAACGAGAAGAGAATGAAGCACCATCCGATGACTACGGCCCAACGTCTCGGCTTCCAAGTGGGCATTTGGTCGATAAAAGAAGCGACGCCGATTTCCACGAGGGCTTAAACAAAAGAAGTCCAATGAAAATGATGTCGGAATCACCAATCTCCGAGCTGATTCCGAGGAAGAAGAGCATGATAAAGAAGAGGAAGGCCCAAAGCCACGGCAACGGCATTCGGCTCATCGCCTCGGGGTACACGACAAACGCCAACGAGAGACCTTTAAAATACAGACGGTGACGTCACGACAACAACAATTACCGCTCTGGACGACTTCGGGTACTTCAATATCACGCTGACGAGCCAAAAATCCCAGAGTCGAAAAGACGGCGGCGCCGCCGATCAGGCTCATGAAAGTGTCGCCGATGACGACGACCAGGGCGTCCTAAAAATATCACAGTAACCAGGGATACGGTAGGCAAAATACTCGGAAGCAATTGTTTCTTGGCTTGTTGAACGAAGCGAGAGTGATCATTCCACCGTAGCCCACGGACAAGGAAAAGCACATTTGCTTCAAGGCTTCGGTCCACGTTTTCATGATGAAGACTTTGGAGAAGTCCGGCTTTCCCAGGTAGTAGTAGAGGCCGTCTTCAGCCCCTTCGAGCGTGATTCCGCGGAAGAAAAGGATCAGGACGATCACGTACGGCAGGATTACAGTAACCTGAAGTTTCGGGAAAAATTGGCTTAGCTAGGGAATTCGCTCTGTAGACATTTTAAAGAGCGAATTTTTTATAATTCGGCCCGGTGAAGAGCACGGATCAAGGCGTAATTGGCTTATGGTCCGGTGCAACTGTTTGATAAAGACATTCCAGTAGGAGTAGTATCAAGAATAGTCGTCTTTTGTTTCGGTTAAAATTTTCGCAACCGCGACGCAAGACATCTATTAAATGCGGCTGCAAACAAGGTCAAGACATTCTTAATGTCGACGTAAGGAGAATCGCTCAACATGTGCATCTTGCACCCGACTGAAAATGACTTGCGCGTTGTCATATTCTTCAAGACACATTTCCTGTTGTCCCTTGCTTGTAGCCGAGTCGGACGAGATGAATGGACTATATTTTTCAATAGGGGAACTAACATAGGAAGTCTTCCCGAGGTACTGAACGCCCTTCAGCAGGACCAATATGGTGAAAATCCAACAAGCCGTCATGCCGGCCAGGGATTTCCAATTCATCAGGTTGAAGTCGGTGAAGCCTTGGGATGGCAGCAGGACGTAATCACTAAAGATAAAGATACACCGTAATAAAAACAGAAGGAGATACGTAAAATATTGCTCCGTGGCGCCGATGGTCGCAATAGTCTTGACGTATTGTGGTGTGGTGCAGGTTCCGTTGAAATACACGGGAAACGACATGTTCGCCGAGCAGAGCTCCTGTTCTCGCAGGCTGAAGCAGGTGTCTGGAAGGATACTTTCAAGAAAGAACGAAGGTAAACGAGCTCACTGGGGTCGTTCCAAGAATTGTCGCACCGGACCCATTTGTCAGTGTGGCCGAGGAACACGCCCATCATGTAGATCGTGATCCAGCCGATGAGCACAATGTAGTAGACCGAGACGCTGGACGCAACCATTACGTTCATCCAACCAACACCTGAATTGAAAACTTGCAAAGTTATATAGTTCGTTCGCTGCAATCTGTGACGGTTGGAGCTTCAACCGACTGTAAACATGTCTGCGCGTTTTGAAATGTAGAGTTTCACTGAACGAATGAGTAACGCAACGCATATAACCATTCTACATGCGACCAGCAGGCTTTGAAGCAGTATAAAATCGTGAGAGTTCCCTTCAGTTTGCCGGATAGCGCAGTGGATAAAGGACGGAGTCACAAGCTCTACGTCTTTGGTTCGAATATCCTTCGAGGAGAGTTCATTTTTGCCGATTCTTTCTCCATAAATCTGTTGAGCTAGGAGCCTTGCAGAATCAGTTTTTTACTGTATTTTTCGGTTTTGAATAAGTTTCGAAGGAAAACTTATGCGTAGCGCAACAGGTTGTGTTTCTGATCACGGTCCACAGGGTCACGAGTTCGATCCCCTTCGCGATCTAAGGGGTTTAAGAAATGTTGGTAGTGGGAAACCACGGCTCCGAAATCCCCAATCGTCACACAAAGGATCGATATGTCACTAGAGCCACTCCACTGAATATTAGGATGGGACAACGGCTAATCCGCCGACGCCGCCTAAGCGGTACAAAGGCGTAGGAAGAAGAAGACTTGTGTTTTTTATTACAAGTTCGATCCCCGCCGTGACCCAAAGCAAGCGGATTTAGAAATGTTGGTAGTGGGAAACCAGGGCTCCGAAATCCCCAAACGTCCTATACAAGGACGGAGATGTCACTAGAGCCAGTCCCCTTATCATCAGAATAGGACCCCCGCTAATCGACTTGGGGCGCCGACGCCGCTCGAGCGGTACAAAGGCGTAAAAGAATTCATACTGATTCATTACAGAATCCGGCTGACGTCACCTAATCACTACCTTGAAGAATCGGCGCAATCCTTCGAAACAAGGTCGGGGGCGTCGCACGATGAAACTGTCCCAAGGTGGCTTCCAGATACATGGCCGGTAGACCGAACAAAACAGCGCAGCTCATGTAGGGGATTAGGAACGCCGCTGAAGTAGATTGAGCATTATTTTATCACTTTGAGAGCTTCCTAACATCCTCCGTTATCGTAGGCACGCATCGGGAAGCGCCAAATGTTGCCGAGACCAACGGAAAGACCGAGGACCGTCAGGAGGAATTCAAACTGCAATAGAATTTCGATCCTCATCTGTCCTAAGAATCGCTCACCTGATTTCCCCATTGGTCACGTTTCTCATCGTCCTTCTTCGAGACCGCTGAAAAAATGAGCATAATCAGATAAAAAACAATAAACCCACTTGATATGTTCACTGTTGTGCTCGGGGTTGTTACACCACCTTCGTTAGTTTCAGGAACAGTCGCCATGATTTGGCGACCAACAAGGCAGTGGAACTGCCAGCCGTTGAAATAGCTGACCGTTCACGGTTTGATTAATTGGATAACTTGACATTTATAATTTGAATATTCATTTTTGTGACATCGACGTGACTTTTAGCGATAGGAGACTTGGTTGAAATGTGTTACAGGACCTCTGAAAGCGATGGGAACAAACTCTTATATGGGCCGAAAAAATGGTCCCTATAGGGTTTTAGAGTCTGATCCCTTAGTCCCTAAAGCTCAAGTGGACCCTCAATGTCATTGAAAAGACGCTTGTTTATTCAGTTTTACCCATGGAAATTCTTCTTCGCTTGGAGCTCATAACACTTATCGTCTAGCATGTCCCCTAAAGAGGCCACTAACTAAAGCTCCTAGAGGGACCACTTTTACAATCTTTAGCGGCCCTATGGGGGTTAGTAAAGGGGGGCGGGGGACCCTAAGGTTTCCCCTATAGGGTCCTTTACAATTATTCCGATTTCCGACCTTACTGCTTCAATTCTCACAGGGGTCAAAGCAAAAAATTATTTTTTTTTGTGTGGCTGAATACAAACTTTTTCGCACCTTTATTTTTTAAAATTGGATCGTTAATATTTAGACGCATAGTTTAAAGGTTAAAAGTCTTGTCTGGCAGTCGGAAGGCCTCTGGTTCCAATATTGTTCAAAGCATGAAAAATCTAGGTTTGAAGGATAATTTGGACTTTCAAAATTTCTTTAATTTATGCGCGCCGTAGCGCAACAGGGTTTGTACCTGTCTACGGTCCACAGGGTCACAAGTTCGATCCCCTCCTCGACCCCAGAAAGGATTTTTAGAAATGCTGGTAGTTCGAAATTCCCAGTAGTCACACAGGAGTGAGCGACTTTTCCTTTTACCAAAGCTCCATAACAAAAAATCCTTTCTCAAATGTTCATTTCATCGAATAATCAACAAAAAACGGGGCTTTCAAATCGAAGGGACATGAACTGAGTCGGTGAAAACTTCCAATCTTATGTCGCCCGAATCGGTAGAATCGGGCAGGGTAAAGCCCGTGGGAGCCGAGTCCCAGGGCTCTCGGTCGGGAAGGATTTTCTGAAAATTTTGATCCCAAAATTAATATTTGAAAAATAAACCTGTTTATTCATCTCCTCTTCGTCCATTTCTGCGTAGATCCTTGGGTAAGACGGTAATTGAAGTTGTTTCATGAAGAGGCCTCGAAGGTCCTGGAGAGAAGGGCTTTTTTATTTTTAGTACCTATCCATTGAGATACGCCTACTCTACATGAAATGGATTGAAGAAAAGCGGTTTTTTCTGGTTTGCGCCCGACTAAAAGCGACTTGCGCTCTTGGAATTGAAGCGTTGAGAGTCTCAATTGGGTCGAAGTTCGGAAACTTTGAAAGCACAACGTTTGCATTAGGCACGCCGAACATGCAATGAACTGATGAAGAGCAGTTTTCGACTTTGCGCCCGACCATAAGCGACTTACGCTTTTCAAGTTCAAGAGTCAAGAGTTTGAATCGAACCGCTGTGCGACTCTTGTTTGACTTTGGTTTGGCGGAGAGAAGCAGCGACTTGACTTGTAGCCATATGGCCACCCATTTTTTGAAATTCGATAGAATTATTGAAAATGCTTTAATAAACCGAAGAGATCTTTTGACTATTTTTTTTGGGATCTTTTTCCAGGCTACTCACATAGTTTTCAGCTTTGAACTGCGCATAAGCAACGTAGGCGAAAATTGGCATCATGAAAGCGGGAATCAGGCAGACGGTCCAACCGAGTATCTGAAAACTATCGTAAAAATCAAGTCAAAAATAGGCAAAGGTAGAGATCTACAGAGTCTCGGAGAGACTCCAGAGAAGCAGGAAATCTCTCTTTCTCTGTTGTCTCTTCTGGCCACCTAATCTATCGCTCTAATTTCAAACAAAACTCACATCGAAAAGAATTGGATACTTGTCCGCATCGCCTTCGAATGGATAGTCACGCTTGCTAGCCAGAACAACCAAAGCCTGAAACATTTTTTGTTGATTCGCACTGAGAATGGCTTGACGCGTCGCGATCCGCAACGCGGTCAGCCATTCCAAATGCGACCAATCACTCACACTTCCCAAGACTGGCGTGATAACCAGCCAATTGAGAGGAAAATAAAAAGAATGCTGTCCAAAAATTCTCGTGAAAAAGTTTTTCGACGGCCCCAACATCTCGAACATGTCCTTTGCTTGATTTTTGTTGCCTTAATTAATTTTTTAATCGCAAAAAAATGGAGTAAAATTACGGTAGATGTAGGCGATGACTACGGTTTCTACAGTAATCGCGAGGCAGGCCGAAACGCCGGCCGCGTACTCGTCGAACATTACGAACCAGTAGTAGCCTCCCTGGAATTTTCAGTTTTTCTGTTTTGAATGAATAATTTTCGAGTTTGGTGCTCGGAAAAGAGTTCTCCAAGACGTAATTTTCAATTATATTCCTTCGAAAAGGCTCATTTTTGTACTCGATGAGAATAACAAGGAAAAAACTTAAAAAAAGCCAGGTGAAATTGAGAAAAATTTTAAATGGCTAAAAAGTGGAGGGCAGGTGCGCTCCATTGCTAATTTTTTTTTTTTGATCATGAAATCAGTTTTTTTTATCGATTTATATGAGTTATTTCTATTCAGTAGCTTCATTAATTATCAGAAAAAAATCGATAAACTCCTTGAAAATTGGATGGAATACGGTTTAATGAATGACCCATTCAAAAAAAAAAAAATGAGAAACTGATAAATTTTCAAAATAGGGAAGTGACTTCTTTCAGCTTTCTCATGGTAGATTCCAAAATTTTTCCTCTATCAAAATCAGAAATTTTTCAGCCGTACCCAATCCAAAAACCCACATCCGTACACATGACGATCCCCAGCAGGAACAAAACGAAGCAGAAAATCGTGACAATGACGTATTTTCGATTTTTCAGTGACGGCAATTGATCGTGGATCGCCGCGCAGCCAATCTCGACAAATACTTGAAAGACATCTTTAAAATGCGAACACTTTGGACGATAAACCGATTTCCGAGCTGATCCCAAGGCAGAAGAGCATGACGAAAAAGAGCAAAGACCAGAGCCAGGGCAGGGGCATGTGACTCATCGCCTCGGGGTAGACGACAAACGCCAGGGAGAGGCCTGTAAAGTGCGGACGGTGACGTCATGATGACAAGAATCACCGCTCTGGACGACGTCAGGAACGCCGACGCCACGTTGATGAGCCAAGAAACCCAGAGTCGAAAAGACGGCGGCGCCGCCGATCAAGCTCATGAAAGTGTCGCCGATGACGACGACCAGGGCGTCCTGAAAGGATTACAGTATCCAGGGATACGGTAGGTCCTACAATGATATGGAAATTCATTCCTACTTCTTGTTCTAGTCTTCAGAATGATGGAAATTTATCGGTCGTCGGATAGTCTTACTCGATAACTTCTACGGTAACTCAGGATTACGGTAGCTTATTTGAGGATTTGGATTACTGTATATGACGACGACCAGGGCGTCCTAATAGATATACAATATCCAGGGTTATGGTAGGTGTTACAATAGCACGGTATGTCTTACTTCTTGTTCTAGTCGTCAGAATGATCGCAATACATGACCGTCGAACAGTCTTACTTGAGAAAGCTTCTACGGTATCTCAGGGTTACGGTAGCTTATTTGAGAATTCAGATTACTGTGTATGACGAAGACCAGGGCGTCCTAATAAGTATACAGTATCCATGATTACGGTAGGCGTTACAATAGTACGTTATTTCTTACTTCTTGTTCTAGTTGTCAGAATGATCGCAATACATCTTACTTGAGAAAGCTTCTACGGTATCTCAGGGTTACGGTAGCTTTTTTGAGGAGTTGGATTACTGTACACCATAATGGAGATAAGCTCAAGTTCACTTTGAAAAAGACTAGGTTATTGAAAATCTAGAGTCTCTGATTTCAGAATCTCAAGTACAGATTCACAGGTTGAGATGACTTATGCAGTACTGTAGACTACGGTAGCTGTTCGGAAATACTGTATGAAGGTTATGGAATTTTTCTTACAGTATCCAAGTTACGATAGGCTCAAAAAGTATCCATGAAACGACGTTAAAATCTCTGAAAACTCCAGAAAAAGTCAAATTTCTCCATACCCTGAAACAGTTGTTCTTGGGCTTGTTGTACGACGCCAGCGTGATCATTCCACCGTAACCGATCGATAGAGAGAAGCACATTTGCTTGAGTGCCGCCGACCAGGTTCCGATCAAGAACAACTTGTCGAAATCCGGCTTGCCTAGGTAGTAGTACAGTCCGTCGGAAGCGCCTTCCAAGGTGATGCCGCGGAAGAACAGGATCACCACCAAGACGTACGGCATGATTACAGTAACCTTAGATGTGCAGGTTATTGATTTAGCTAGGAGACCGCCTTTTTCTTAAAGAAGTTTTTTTTATTAGATGAAATACTGCACCGAAGGAAGGCGGTTCATTGGATTTATCAGGGTTTTCCCTTCTTAGAAGTTTCAGAGTGGTCCCTATAGGGGTTAGGGGGGAAAATCCATATAGGGGCGTAAAAAGTGGTCCCTATAGGGGTTTCGGATCTGACCCCTTGGCCCCTTAAGCTCAAGTGGACCCTTTAGGGGTCACCCAAAGTTGTCCAAAAAGGAAGCGACCACTCTAGGGGCCACTTTTGCATGTTTAGTAGCGCCTATAGGGATCGACAAAGTGGTCCCTAGAGGGGACTCCCTCTACCGGTCTCGAAAAAACGAACATAGGAAGCTTTTCCCATATACTTGGCGCCCTTCAAAACGATAAACGCCGTGAAGAGCCAGCACACGACGACGCCGATCAGGGACTTGAAATTGATCGTGTTGAAGTCGATGAACCCTGTCGATGGCTTGACGACGTAGTTCCTGAACATTTTGTTGAATCTGAAGACGTTTGAGAATCACATGAAGTACTGCTCCGTGGCGACCATCATCTTCTTCCCTTCAAAGGACTCTTCGCCGTGGCAAGATCCGTGGAAATAGGTCCTCGCTGTACTGTTTTGTGCGCACTTTTCTTGGAGGGACATGTCGATGCAGGTGGCTGAAGGGAGAAAGGGATCACTTGAGGGTTCGAGAGTAGCTGGGGAGCTTCTAAGGGGACACTTAAAGGTATAAGCGGGAATACGAACGTTTCTTTGTTGCTTAAGAAGGAGAGGGATCCTTTGAGGGGGGAGTGATCACTCTAGGACTAGTAAAGTGGCTACTTAAGGGTTTTAAAATAGCCGATGAGCTTTAAAGTGGGCACTCAAGGGTTAAAGCGGGGTTAAGTACTTTCCTGTGTTTCCCAAGAAGGAATTCAGAAAAAAAGAAAGTGACCTCTTTAGGGATGTGGCTAGTAGTGATCACTTTAGGGTTAGGACAGTGGCTACTTAAGGGTTTAAAGTCTCCGATAGATTTGAAGTGGGCACTTTAGAATTAAAGCAGGGTTGAGAACTCTCCTTTGTTTCCTGAGGGGATTTTAAGAATTTGAAGTGGTCTCTTGAGAGATGAGTCAAGTAGTGATCATTTTAGGGTTGAGACAGCTGAAAGATCTACGAAAGGTACATTAAAACGTCTCAAGAAAACATACTTTTAAAAAAATGATGGTAGTAGTGATCTCTCTAGGGGTGAGATAGAAGTCAGAAGCTTTATAAATAGCTCATTTGGACATTTTATGGTATATCCATAGTAACTAAATTTTCCGAAATCTTATTAAACATTCTTGACTTTTTGGACCAATCTCTGATTTCAAGTTTGGTTATAAATAAATCTTCAATAGTTCCATTCAATTATACCCGCATCGTTCCAGGAATTATGGCAATGGGTCCAATGATCGACGTGTCCAGTGAGGACGCCGACAAGGTACACGGCAATCCAGCCAATCAGCAAGATGTAGTAGACGGCGACCAGGGAAGCGATCATCACGTTCATCCAACCGACTCCTGCGGGTTTTTCTTTTCAAGACCAATAGGAATTTGTACTTAAAAACTGCCAGAGGCGTCCCTAAAGGAGTTACGGAATGAACAGACCCTCTAGAGGACAATAGAGTAGTCCTAGAGGGGTAAAACTTAGGTGATCCCTATTTCAGGGTGTCCCCTCTCCCCTTCATGAAAAAAGGACTGAAAAATGACTTTTGAAAAAATAGCTGCTTTCAAGTGGAAGCATGCGCGCTCCATGGCTAAATTCCAAAAAAAAAAAGCCCATCGATTCGATTTTTGATAAGTATTTTTCATTACAAATTTCGAATTTAGCGACCCTTTCATAATCATTTTCCCTACCTCTATGAGAAGCACTCATAGGAAAAATGAGCCGCGAAAAATAGCCAATCGCGCTCTGTCGCTGATTTCTTGGTTTGAAGTTTATTACATATTTCATGAGTTTTAAATAACAAATTTCGAGCTGTAAAAAAGGCCACACTCATTTCATTAGCCTTGGAGCGAACATTCCCATTTTTGAGGCATTTTTGGATTATGAACAGTTTTTTTTCTCTGAGTAACTTTTGATTGAGTAAGAAAACCTTGTAGAATCGGCGCGATTCTCCTGAATAAAATGGGCGGCGTTTTTCGATGGTATTGCCCTAAGGCGGCTTCCAAATACATGGCTGGGAGGCCGAATAACACGGCGCAGGTTAGGTAGGGAATTAGGAACGCAGCTGAAAAGTATTATAACATTTTTAGAGCTCGTAGAAGCTCCTAAACATCCTCCATTTTCGTAGGCCCGCATTGGAAAGCGCCAAATGTTGCCGAGGCCGACGGACATTCCCAGGATCGTCAGGAGGAACTCGAACTGCAATAGAATTTCGATCCTCATCTGTCCTAAGAATTTCGATCCTCATCTGTCCCCTGGAAAATTGCTTCGGATCTAAGAGGGGGAATGCCAAAATTTTACAAATTTTCAGACCAACCCCGGGAGATCGCTTCGGAGCTTTGAAAGAGTGGGTTCTATATTTTCTTACTAATTTTTGGGCCAACCCAGGGAGATTACTCCAGATCTAAGAGGGGGTTCGGCTCCAGAAATAAGAACTTGGGAGTTTCATAGAGGTCGAGTAGGAGTTTAAGGAGCTTCTAGGAGCACTTGTTTGAGAATAAAATGTTTCTGATAATGCCAAAAACCACTGGAACTTTTTTTTCTGGGCTAGAATTCCTGGCTAGGCACCAAAGTATGCCGGAATAAATCAGATGTACCTAATGGAAATTTGAATATCTCAACCTGTAAAATTTCGAGATTCAAGAGAGACAAAAAAAAGTCGATGAAAACAATGGAAGACCCCCCTTGTACAGATTTTTTGATAGCGGGATCCCAAGTTCCTACCTGATTATCCCATTGGTCACGTTCCTGGGAATCGTCCTTTTCTGTGCTCCCATTTTTGTCACTTTCGATTGCTAAAATCCCGAAAATACACATTAAAGAAAAAAAAACCATGGTAAATCAAAGGCTCAAAGGGCTATCGTTGTCAAAAAATCAGAACTATTTCAATTCAAGACAAAAAACTGAGAAAAATCGACAAGCTAGAGTATTTCAGAAGCTACTGTAGCGAGCTCACAGCTTACTGTAGCTACTGTATTTTGGAGCAAAAAACTTACATATCTTTTTGACGCTCTTTTCTGTGATTGAAGTGTCGTACTTGGACGATTCTCCCGACATTCTGAAGATTTTTTTCTTGGTTTTTTTGGTGTACTGTAGCTTAATACTACAGTGCCTGAATACAGTAACCCAGACCTTGCTAAAGCCAAGAAGACGAAGAGACGTCGCGAAAAGAAATGCCTGCGTTTTTTCACGTTTTACTTCTATTTTCTGATTTTCTTGTAGTTGGAAATTTCAGACAGCTCCAACTTCATTCGGAAGGAAGACAACGAAATTAGTGAGATTGGGGCGGCCGCTGGACCTGGTTCCGCCGTAAAACGACTTCTTTTCAGTCGGTCTTCAACCTTTCAACATGGGACACAAGCTTCATGTGGGTTTTTTTTTTGTTTTTCCAAGAAAATGTCAAGCTTATGAAATATTATTTGTAAAATTCATTCAATAATTATTCAGAAGTCGAAATTTCAGTTATGATTATCAAAAAATGTCCGTAGAAGACCTAGAATTTCTTCAGAATTGTAGTGAGAAATTAAATTATCCACGTAATTGTAAAGTAAACCCTTGAAGAAGCTTTGACCATTTGCAGCTCTCAAGAAGTCTTTCTAAACTGCTTCAAGTGGTCACTGAAGAGTACTAATCCAAAAATGCCTCAAAAACATGGGAATGTTCGCTCCAAGGCTAATAAAAAGAGTGTGGCATTTTTTTAACAGTTTCATGAGCTGAAATGTGTTATTTCAAACTCCAAAAAAACAGGTAATAAACTTTAAACCAAAAAATTAGCAATAGAGCGCGATTTCTGATTTTTCCTATGAGTCCTCATGTCATGCGTGATCCTGATCAGACAATTTTCGCCCTCTTTGAGCCGACTAGAAGTTATCTCTTAAGAGACCACTTGCTTTCCTAATCTGCGTATCAACCCTCTCTACATTAAGGAAGACTTGAGTGTTCACTTGAGAGGTTTGTTCTTTGCCAACCATTAGAGTGGCTGTGCAGGAAAAAGAGCTTATAACTGTCTTCTTAAGCGGCCACTTCGAAGTTACTCAAGCCTTAAAGGAACCTCTTAAGGGACTAATTGCTTCTCGATGCTTCACTGGAGAGTTCATAGGAGATGATACTTGATAGGATCTCTCAAAGTTTCATTTTTCATCCGTAGTCTTCTTAAGCAACCACTCCTCTCCAAACTATTGCCACCTCTCAAGGGACCACTTGGCTCTTCAGAATCGTTATCAGCATCGTCGATCATCACAAGTGTGTGTAGTGGCTGTGCAGGAGAAGAGCCTTTACTTGACCTCTTAAGTGGTCACTTCGAAGTTACTCAAGCCTTAGAGGGACCTCTTAAGGGGCTTATTGCGTCTCGATGCTTCACTGGAGAGTTCATAGGAGATGATGCTTCAAGGGATCACTTAAAGGAGTTTCTCAAGCCTAGAGGGACTCTTAAAAGACTAATCGCGTCTCAATGCAACAAGGGATCACTTAAAGGATCGATTTTGCGTCTTTCATCTTCAGTCCTCTTAAGCAGCCACTCCAGCCGTTTCTCCGAACCATCACCACCTCTCAAGGGACCACTTGGCTCTTCAGAACCGTTATCAGCATCGTCGATCATCACAAGTGTGTGTAGTTGCTGTGCAGGAGGCGAGCCGGTGCTGGTCGTCCCCCTGGGATTTTTTCTCGTCGTCGTTCATTTTGACACTCTCCCTCTAGAAGACCTTCTTCCTTTCCGTCGCCTTCTGAAATGTGAGGGTGGTGGAAGATCCTCCGTCTGGACTCGGAAAAAAAGGGGCGTTCCGTCATATCTCGGCTCTTTTATCTCGAGTTTGGCTCCGACTCATTTCAGATTTGACGTTTTTTCGGAGAACTTCAGCCTATTTTCTTGAGCTTCTTCTTGGCTTTGTCTTTTTTTCAGTGGTTTGAAGATTCGAAATCTGCCTTCTTGATTTTTGGCGGACCTCTACTTTTGAAAACCGATACGCTTGCTCAAATTAGAAGTTTTCTGATTTATTTTTGGGAGGCTATAACTTTCAAATCGAATTTTCGCTAATTTTTTCATTATTTTTCTTTTTTCTAGTTTTTTCCACCATTATAAACTCGTAAGAGAAATACGATATAACTTTTCGATAAAAAGTATCAACTCTGTTCACGAAATGAGTTTGGTCCGCAATTGTGCGACGTGGTGTCATACGCAGACTGTTTTTAATTTCTTTTTTTCTCGAATTTTTTTCTCGGATTTTTTTCTTCTGTCTTTATTTTTCTTTCCCTTTTTATTTCCTTTTTTTGATTTTTTTGAGAGTTTTTTTCGATAATTCCGATTTTGATTCCAAGCAGAAATTGTGGTTTTTTTGTTCCAAAAAAATAATTACAGAAAAATTATATAAAGAAAAAAATGAAAAATTTTTATTATTTTTTTCTTCTTTATTTTTTTCTCCTTCGTTTATTATATTCCTTATTAAAATTAATTTAATAGAAGATTTGACCTAAAAAATTTCTACGCTTCAACTTTTTTTCTGGTTAAAGGTTGTATTTGAAGGGTTTGGTGCTCAATTTTTTCTATATTTCCAACTTTGAGGTCATTTTTTTCGTTTTTTTCGAGGTTTTAATAACTGGATAATTAGAAAAACCAGAAGATGACCGACTTTAATGAAAATCCAAAAATTTTGTTAATTTTAGCACTCCTGGAGCTTTTCTTTTTTTAAAGCCGCAGGAAATTTTCCTCGAAAAGCCTTTTTTCAACGACTTAGAGCTGAAAACCCAGATTTTTCACAAAACGAAAGAAAAGTCCGAAATTTATAATTTATTCATCATTTATACAAATCTCAATTCGAGCCCGCAAAATAATAATAATTGGCCCAGGGGAGGCCATAGGCAAATAGGTTTCCGGTGTTGGAGAAAAAAAAAGCTCCTTGGGGCGAAAAGGAGCATAGGAGAAAGAAGGAAGAGGGGGAGGAGGAGGAGGGATTGAAGTATAAGGATTGGAATTCGGAGTGATTTGAGTTGAGGGCCATGTGTGTACTCGAAACCTATTACCTCTCACTCCCAAATAGCTCATTTGCTCTTTTTTTCTGTTTAGGAAAGTTTATTTTTTGTTTAAAATGTACTTTTTATGCGCTCAAATAAAAAAATTGAACGAAAAAAAAATTTTTGATTTGATCCCTACTAGAAAGGTGAACCACTTGGCGGCTAGAAAAATCTCTGAAATTTTTCTGAAAAAAATTTTTTTGAAAAATGTAAATTTTAAAGATTTGACATTTTAAAACAATGGTAGTTTTCCTGGAGATAGAACTTCGAATTTCGCTATTTTTTTGAAGAAAAAAAGGAACCTTTATTTGTACCTTTTTGAGACAACTAAAGTGGCTACTTGAATTTCAAAAAAATTTATAGAATGTTCAAACTAAAAAGAAAAACTTTTGATCCACAATCTTTATTAATAATTTCATTCTTCCCATTTTTTTCCTCCTCTTCGATTTTCTATTACACTTTACCCAAAAAAACTTGTTGAAAACAATACTTTTTGCTGTTTTTTCGAGCCGTTTTTTGAATTCCCAGGCGGATCCTTTGCGACCAACCATATTTAGGCATCATTTTAACGTTCTCTTTGTGTTTCTCCAACGGAACGCCGACACAGAAACTCAATTTTTAGTCCCAAAAAAAGTTTTTTTCGCTTATTTTTTTCCAGTAGAAAGAAGTATTTTCATCAGGAAAATTGTAAATCGATTAAAAAAAGGAATTTGAAAAAGAAAGATTTTAAATAGTTTGAAAAAAATTTGTAAAAGTCGTCAAAAAAATATTTCCGGTGTTTTGTCCGCAAATGTGCGTCGCGACGAAATGAAAAGCGAATTTACCAAAAAAATATATAATTTTTCTTTTAACTGTTTTTTTGTGTTTTCTCCTTTTTTTATTGTCTTTTTGTTGTTCTTAGAAGTTCATTAACAATTGAAAAAGAGCCCTTTTTAATAAATTTGTAAAGTTATAATAATTTACTTCCAAAATTTTCAAAGCGCTCTTTCCTTGAGTTTCTCAATTCTTGAAGTCCGAGAATAAAATAAACAAGCTTTTTCCAGACTTTCTGTCTCTCGTTTGTTTATAATTAATAGTTTTGTGTACATTTTCTGGATATGTATGATTTTGGAACGCTTTTTTCATGTCTTTAAAGGACCTTTCGGTTAATTTTGATATTTCTATATAATTTAAAAAAAAGGACTTTTTTTCAATTTTTGTTCCTCTGTAGGAATATTTATAGCTCTGACAATCTTTCTGTTTTTTTTTTGAATTTTTTTTTTTCAAATTATGTAGACTCTTGAAGTGAAATTAGTTTAAAATGTATAATTTAATGCAAAAAAATAGGAATTTTTTTGTTAGTTTGGTCCATTTTGGTGAACTTCAAAGCGAAAAAAATGGCCCTGGTTTTTCTCATGACTTCAGTTCCGAAAAATATTATTTTTACCCACTTTTAACTCTTTTCAAGGCTCCCAACTTCAAAACGCATCAAAAAAAGAATTTTCAGCTGAAGATATATAATAAATTTTTGAAAAAAAGCGCTAATTTTTACACAATTTCAGCTTTTCCTAAGGTTCTATAAATCACACATGGTTTTGAAGGCACTTTTTTTCCAGCTGAAAAATATATAATTAATCCAAAAAACGAAGAACAAGATCCCATATGCGGGGAAAAATATTCAGAAAAATATTTCTTTTCCCACACATCCCCATCCAGTCATTTGTTTTTCGGAATATTTTCGAGATCTTCCCGTTTTTTTTTGCCCAGTTTTCATCTTGACTTCATTTTTTTTGTTCAATTTTTCTTGGATGTGACTCGTGAGTCATGGTTCATGAAAAAAAGTGGAACTTTTCTTGAATTTTTTGGAAAAATTCATAAAAAAATACAGGAATTTTCGCTTTGAAATGATTTTTTTCTCAATAAAAATTCATATCATTATCGAGGTTTTTTTGCAGATTCCTAGCAGAAAAAAATCATATGAAAAAGCAGATTTTTTTCTTGTATTTTCACAATTTTTTTCTGGAAGTTTCTTCTGGAAGATTTTCAGGAAACTTCTTAAAAAAATGCAATAAATTTTGCCTTGAAATGAATTTTTTTCTCATTAGAAATATTGTAGTCTAGTTTCCAACTGGTTTTTCTGATTAAAATCTTCTTTATATTTTTTTGGACTTTTCTCAGGGATTATTTATTTTTTTCGAGGCTTCTAAAATTTTATTAGGTCAATTTGGGGCTCCTAATGAGAAATATAACTAATTAAACTTGAAAAATTTTTTTCAAATTTATATTTTTTTGAGAGCCGAATTTCAGCAGGAAAAATCAGTTGAAAAGCGTTTTTTTCTAGCATTTTTTTCAACTTTTTTTTGAAAAAAATTTTTGATTTTTTTCTGAAACTTTCAAGTAATTACTTGAGTTTATAATTTTTTTATTCATTTTATTAATTTGGGGGAAAAAATTACCTTTTTATTAACGGATTTTTTTACCTGGAAATATTAATTTAAAAGGCTTTTTTTCTCAATTTTTCAACTCGAATTTCTTGAGTTTTGTCATGAAACATCTCACAGGAAATCTCAAGCTTCATTATTCAAAGAAAGAAAAAAAGTTTATTTTTCAGAAAAATTGGGCGCCGAAAGAAAAAAACCGGGAGATGTCCGCGCCGACCCGCCTTCTGGGTATGTTCATTCATTTATTTCCTTGTTTTTTTTTCTTTTCATTAATTGTGTAGGCGAGTAAATCGAAAAAGTATTGGTTTTAAAGTTTTTCGTGACTTTTTGAACAACTTTGATGGTGTTTTAGCGGTTTTAAAGCCATTTCCAGGAAATCTTTTAAAGTTTCGATGTTTTTTTGCAGTAATTATCGGTCTCTTTTCATAATTCCCGTCAAAAATGCCAAGAAAAACCTTTGAAAAGGGCCAAATTCACGAAAAAGGCATCTAGAAAATAATTTATCTGAAATGGCGATTTTTTGAAGGAAAAGTAGCTCTATCGATAATATATTCCTTGACTCAGTTTTTCAGCTTTTTTGATGATTTTTTTGGGGTTTGTGGCTTTTTTGTTGAAGCAAATCTGCTCCCTTGATAATGTGGGCTTTTATAGATCGTTTTTATATAGACACTCTTTGATGGTGAAAGTTTAGAGGTTGGTAAAGCCTTTTTTAGAAAATTCATTTTTTTCAGTACTAAGGCCTAAAATTTCCAGAAAAAGTCTCACAGAGTCAAATGATGATTCGAAAAAAGGCAATCTAAATCTCGAAGAGGCTATTTTTCGGAGGAAAAGTAGCTCCATTGATAATTTTTTTTTTTGCTTCGAATTTTTTTTTTGATGGTTCTGAGAGCTTTAGAGGGTTTTTAAGAGAAAAATTCATTTTTTTCATTTTTTTCTTTTTTTAAAGCGTCAACTTATCCTGAAATATCAGAAGGCTAATGGAAAAGTTCAAATTCACGAAAAAAGGCCATCATTTGAAAATTTAAAAGACACCTCCGTTGAGGGGCGATTTTTTGGAGAAAAAGTAGCTCCATCGAGAATTTTTTGAGTCCTTTTTTTTCGAAGCTTTGAGGGCCTTAAAGAATTTTTCTCAACAGGAAATCTTCATTTTCTTGCTAAATCTTAGCCTAAAAATCAGAAAATCTGTTGCGAAAGGCCACTAGAAAGGTTCAAAACTTCAAAAAGGGCAAATAAGTCGTAGAAATTTAAAGGCTATTGAGGAATTTTTTGTCGAAAATCTCCTTTTTTCACAAATTTTTAGCCCAAAAATCAAAAAATCTGTTCGAAAAGGCCACTGGAATGTTTCAAATTTCCGAAAAA